TTTTTTTTTTTTTGTCTTTTTTGAGACAGGGTCTCCCTGTAGGCCCAGCTGGCCTGGGCTCACTATGTAGACCAGGCTGGCCTTGAACTCATAGAGATCCTCCTACCTCTGCCTCTGAGTGCTGGGATTGAAGGCATGAGCCACCATGCTCAGCTGCAACATGCTGACTTTTAAATGTACATTGCTCATCAATGTAGCACCTCACAGGGTGCTGGAACACAGGGTGGAAAGAAAAGCATGGTAATTACTGGGAACTTACTCTTTGGTATTTCCATTTAGGGATCTGAAAGTAACTATGAAGCTATTAAAGAAGGGGTAAACATTAGATATTTGGACTTGAAGCAAAACTGGTAAGCAATTAACTTGTCCTAAAAAAATTGAATAACAGGGTGGTGATCTGGTGGGTGATAAAGGTCCTGCTGCCTGCTCTTCTGTACTGCTCTTCCCACTCTGTCTGCTAAGCCTCTACATACTCTTGCTGTTTGTGATGCTGATTTGTGTGGGAAATTGAAGAATTTCTCAGTTTTCAATGGTGTTCCTGTCCCCGTTCAAGCCACAACTTCTTGGCTTGCACAACTCTGTCCTCATTCTATCTTTAGATGATGTTAAGACCATCCTTTCTGTTGCTGAGGGAGCCCTGAACGTGGTCTGTCTGCTGTCCACGGAGATATCAGGTTCTCATGGCTGTCACAGAGCTGTCATGGCCCACAGTCTATGGCTAAGCTGAACAGGGAAGAATGCAGTCAGGCTGCAAGTACAAACCAGACTCAGTTTTGTTTTATGCTCAGAGTGAGTTTCCTCTTAGCAGCAGTTCTACAACAGGGTCTGGCAGTTCCCCTATGGTCTCAGCACTCATGAAAGGTAAAGCAGGAGGATTATGGGTTCCAAGCTGGCCTGGGCTACATAGCAAGATCCTTTCTCAAATGAAGTTGAAGACTTTCCATGTGTTTCAGAGTCACGTTCACTCTGTTTTGGTTTTGGTATAGCACAGCCATTCTCTTTGCTCCATTGAGGGATGCTGCAGTTGTCACCCTGATGTGTTTTTTTCCCTTGTACTATTGAAACTATTAGTATGTTCGCTAACAGTCTCTGAAAGCCCTTGTAAAAGCTACCAAGTAGGTAAAATAATAATTCCTTAATTTCTACAGGCGTTTTGAGTAAATAGCATTTATCTGTTTTCATTTATCTTTATCTGACTTTTGGAAACTTAAGATCTAACCCACTGTGGGCTTGGCAGCCCTTTTCAGGTTGAGAAAGAGGAACAGTACAGAGTTAGTAGTTGCTGCCCTGGGCTTCTGTTCCTCTGTATCATCTTGTGAAGGGGTCCATAGAGGCTTGGGAAACACACTTGTCTGTCTTCTGGATGACTGCTTACAGATCCCCAGGATCTCTTGATTGAAGTGAGTGGGGAAATTTGCCCAGGGAGGTTTCTTCTGTGTTAGAACAGCCTGTCCTCTCATCATTGACCATCATTGATTTCTTGCCCATTTGGGCACCCCATAATGTGGGCTTACATGTTCAGGGAAGGTTTGTGAGTTCTTTAATGGTTTATTACTCACAAAGCCCATCTTTTTTCATCTTAGATATAAACTTAGAATTCTTTAGTTTTATTTTGAGATAGTCTTACTCTGTAGTCCAGGTTAGCTTCAAACTTGTGATTCTTTTATTCAGCCCCTTGAGTGCTAGGATTATAGATGTGCCTGGCTTAAATTTTTTAGTCTTAAATTTATTAACTTGTAAATTCCTATATAGCCTGTTTGTCAACTTTTTACTAAGCTGAAAAATTATGATTATTTGCCTACAGAACATTTTCATTGAGCTCTATGGTAAAATTATTTTATTTTATTTTCTATTTTTGTCTTTTTGAGACAGGGCCTCCCTATAGCCCCAACTGTCCTGGAACTCACTATGTAGACCAGGCTGGCCTTGAACTCAGAGATCCGCCTGCCCCTGCCTCCCAAGTGCTGGTATTAAACCACCACACCTGGCCTAAGATTTATTTCTTATTTGCCTCTGTGTGTGTGTGTGTGTGTGTGTGTGTGTGTGTGTGTGTAACCCCAGCTGGTCTGGAACTTATTAAATAGATCAGGCTGGCCTTGAACTATCTGCTATCTGCCTGCCTCTGCCTCCCGAGTGCTGGGATTAAAGGTGTGCACCACCACTCCCGGCCAAGAAGCAGGCACTCTTAACAAGTCATCTCTCCAGCTCCATATTTTTATTTTTATTTTTTTAATTTTTATTATTTTTATTTTATGTGTATGTCTGTATTGCCTGCATGTAGGTAAGTGTGTCTGTGTCGTGTAATGCCCGAGGAGGTCAGAAGAGGTTGTCGGATCCCCTGGGACTGGAGTTACGGACAGTTGTTAGCTGCCATGTGGATGCTGGGATTCAAACCTGGGTCTTTTGCAAGAACAACCAGTGTTCTTAACCCCTAAGTCATCTCTCCAGCCCCAATCAATTTATACTTTATGTGTATGGCTGCATGTATATAAATGTACCATGTCATAAATGCCCATGAAGGCCAGAGAGGGCATTAGATCCCCAGGAACTGGAGTTTATAGTTGGTTATTAGCTGCCATGTGGGTGTTGGGAACTGAACCCAGGTCTGTAAGAGCAGCCAGTGCTCTTTTATTTGTTTTTCTTGAGACAGGGTCTTCCTGTAGCCCCAGCTGGTGTGGGACTTGCTATGTAGACCAGGTTGGCCTCAATCTCGAAAAGGTCCGCCTGCCTCTGCCTTCCAAGTGTGGGGATTAATGGTGTGTACCACCATGCCGAGCTACAACCAGTGCTGAGCCGTCTCTCCAGCCCCCCAGAACCATTTCTTAAGGACCTTGTTAGATGAGCCTCCACACTTGGTAGCATAATGCTATGCTCTTCATTAACCTTCCTTATAACCCTGCTGTAGGCATGCCTACTGTGCCACATGCTTGGTATAGGGAGGACACTGATGGTGTTGTCCCCTGAAACCTCATTGGTAATATTGGCATACTACCAGTGTGTTGCAAGTTTGAGCCAGACTTCCTCAATTCCTTTCGAGGGTCTGAAAGACAGCAACAGGGTTGGCCTGGGGAGAACTGAAGGATGGCAGTAAGAGTCAGTTGGGTTGCCTGAATAGCTTGGGCCGTCCCTCAATTCCCTAGGAGTGGCTGCTCATAGAAGGTGCTTGTTAACCCATACTGTTTCTGAGCCTTGAATGAAGGTTGCTAATACTGTTAGCTTGGATGAATTCATATTGATTTTTATTGTGGCAACAGCTTAGATAAAAAACAACATATGTGGTGGCACACGCTTTTAACCCCAGCGCCTGGGAGGCAGAGGCAGGCGGATCTCTGTGAGTTCAAGGCCAGCCTGGTCTATATAGTGAGTTCCAGGACAGCTGGAGCTACAGGGAAACCCTGTCTCAAAAAGACCAAAACAAAAAAACAATATATAAGCTTTAACAAGCAGAAATGGGTTTTCTATAGAACAGCAGCTTGGAATTTCTATAGCTGATGGTTAAAACTGAAAATAATTTTTTTTTTTCTCTGAACCAAAGAAGTTGTAAAGAGTACAACCTAATCAGTTCTCTACAGCTTACTTTGAAGGGCTTTCGATGAGTGTTTCAGGCTCAGGCTATACAGCCCAAAATAACTAGGGCACCAACCACCTCAGATGCTAAATGAACAGGGGTGTTTAACTTCCCAGTATTAGAGCTTGACCTGGATCTACTTGACTTGAGGGCTGAACTGTGCTAATTTCCTAGATTTTGGTAATATATTTATTGATCCTCTTTCTTTCTTTCTTTCTTTCTTTCTTTCTTTTTTATTTATTTTTTTTTTTTTTTTTTTTTTTGAGACAGGGTCTCCTAGTAGCCCCAGCTTGCCTGGAACTCACTATGTAGACCAGACTGGCCTCGAACTCACAGAGAGACAGGCCTGCCTCTGCCTCTTAAGTGCTGGGATTAAAGACTTGCGCCACCACACACAGCTTGATCCTTTTTCTTAAAAAAAAAAAAAAAGCTTGGCTGGGGGTCATGGTGCACACTTTTAATCCCAGCACTTGGGAGGCAGAAGCAGGTGGATCTCTGTGAGATTGAGGCCAACCTGGTCTAGATAGCAAATTCTTGGCCAGCAGGGGCTATAGGAAAACCTTGTCTCAAAAAAACCAAACAAAAGTCAAGTTGATTGAGCCATAATTTAAGTACTATAATACTGGTCTGTTCTGGTATATAGTTCTGTGAGGGTTATTTTGAGACAGGTTTACATAGCCCAAGCTGACCTTCAACTTCAGGTACTTCTGCCTCCATATTCCAAGTGATAAGATTACAGGTGTGTGCCTTCATGCCCAGGTTTAATATTTTGAGTCTTCATAAACATATAGATTAACTGTAGTCATGATACAGAACAAGGCTGGGGGTGTTTCATAGTGCTAGAGCACTCCCTATGTGCATGAGACAGTTTGAACCTCAGTACCACAGGTAGGGAAATGGGGTGTCCCATCACCCTTCATTGGATTTCCTTTGTGCTCCTGGCAGTCATTCATTTGTTTTCTGTTCTCAAAGTTTTGTCATGTTCAGAATGACAGTTGAAAGACATTGGGACATTGGGTTCTCGGGGTAGGCCACTGTAATAAAGCCTAATAAAAGTATAAATATTTGCACATAGGTATTCCTGAGAATATTTTTTTTCTCCCTTGCGTAAGTGTCCAGGCATGGGATTCTAGTAGATATAATAAGCATGTTTAATTTTGTAAGAACCTGCCAAGCTGTTTACAAAGAGACCTGCAGACTTTCTCTTTCCTTGTCTAGTGATGGGCTTCTGGTTTTGGCAGCAGCATGGCACCCAGGAGATAGTCCCTGCCTCATCTATTACTCTCTGATAACAGTGGAAGACAATGGCAGTCAGATGTCAGACACAGTCACTGTGGAAGTCATTCAGTATAACCCACCTTTCCAGGTAAGCCACAAGGAAGGAGACCACCAGGTATTAAGTGCTTTTACAACTGCTGTACAGTCTTGGAGATTGATCTGCAGGGCTTGGAAATAGTTTCAGACATTGCTTCTGTTTTTTATTTTTTTCATCTCACTCATTCTCTGGGCTGGCCAGAACTAAGACAGGTGAGGATGGAGGCAGCCAGGAGCATCTGTCTCTTCTGTAGCTTTTCATTATTGAATAGAAAGGACGGTGGTGATGAGATATGGTAAATACTGGGGTTTGGCTTTTTTTCTTGTGTTTTGTATTTGAGACAGAGTTACTTTCTGTAGCCTAGTCTGACTACCTAGTCAAGATCCATCTGTCTCTGCCTTTCAGGTTGCTGGGATTGCAGGTGTGTACCATCCTGCCTTCCAGGAGTTAAATTTGAGGCCTTTATACAGGAAAATCCCATGTGCATAGAGGATTTTGGGTATTCTGTAGTGTTCCTGTAAGCCCCAAGAAGAATGTTGAACTTATAAACAGCAATTAAACACATTTTCTAAGTTGGGTGTAGTTATAAATGCCTTTAATTAATCCTAGCACTTGGGAGGTGGAGACAGGAGAATCTCTGAATTTGAAGTCAGTCTGGTCTCCATAGTGAGTTCCAGGCCAGTCAGGGCTATATACTGAGACCCATAACAAAAGCAAACAAAAAAAGAAACCCCCACATTGTCTAGATGCTCACAAGGGAAAGGTGTGACATCTGTGAGGCAGGTAACCTTACACAGGATCTAATTCTGTTAAGTCTTTTTTAAGATTTGTTTGTTTTTTACGTGTATGAGTGGTTTGTGTGTATGTGCACCAAGTATGTGCAGTGCCCACAGAGGGCAGAAGGTGTCAGATTTCCTAGAACTGGAGTTTTAGATGGTTGTGAGCTGCCATGTGGGTACTGCAAATCAAACCCAAAGTCCTCTGCAAGAGAGGTTAGAAGTGGCTCAACTTCTGAGCTACCTCTTCAAGTGTTGGGTTTTTTTTTTTCTTTTTCAATCCAGGGTCTTACTGCATAGTCCTGGCTAGCTTGCAACTTGCTATGTAAACCAGGCTGACCTCACAGAGATCTGTCTGCTTCTACTTCCTGAGTGCTGGGATTAAAGATGTGTGCCACCATGCCTGGCTCTTATTATTTATTTTATTTTACTTTTTATTTATTATTATTATTTTCGTCTTTTTGAGGCAGGATCTCCCTGTTAGCCCCAGCTGGCCTGGAACTCACTATGTAGACCAGGCTTGCCTTGAACTCACAGAGATCTGCTAGCCTCTGCTTCCAAAGTGCTGGGATTAAAGGTGTACACCACCATACCTGGCTTTTATTATTTTCATTTTATGTATATGAGTGTATTGCCTGCAGTATGTAAGTGCACCTGTCACATACTGCCCATGGAAGTGAGAAGAGAGTGTCAAATGGAGTTATAGATGACAGTTGTTAGCCATCATATGGGTGCTGGGAACCAAACCTGGGTCCTTTGCAAGAACAGCCAGTGCTCTTAACTGCTGTGTCATCTCTCCAGCCCTGATTGTTTATTTTAACTATGTGTATGCATGTGTGAATGTTGGTGTCTGCAGAGGCCAGAGGCATTAGAGCTTCCAGTCTTGGAGTTATAGGTGGGTGAGCTGCCCAATGTTGGTACTTGGAATCAAACTCTGGTGTCCTATGTAAGGCAAGGACATGGTCCTAAGCACTGATGCATCTCTCCATTTCCTAAATTTTTTTTTTTTTTTTTTTTGGTTTTTTTGGGAAAAGGTTTTTCTGTAGCCCAGCTGTCCTGGAACTCACTATGTAGACCGGGCTGGCCTTGAACTGACAGAGATTCGCCTGCCTCTGCCTCCTGAGTGCTGGGATTCCAGATCTTAACATGATTTATTTAGCTGAATCCCATAAAATCTTCTGTTTTATTTCTAACAGGAATAAGCCTTATCATTTGTTGTGACTTTATGTAATTGGAAATCATGTTTGGTGTTACTAAAAACATTTCAGAGGGGCTGGAGAGATGGGTCAGCGGTTAAGAGCACTGACTGCTCTTGCAGAGGACCCAGGTTCGATTCCCAGCACCCATATGGTGGCTACGAACCATCCTTAACTCCAGTTCCAGGGGAATCTGAAGTCCTCTTACCTCTGCAGCATTTCACGACACAGGTGCACTCACATGCAGGCAATATACACATACACATAAAATAAAAATAACAAAATATTAAAAAAAAAATTTCAGGCTGGGCGTGGTAGTGCACACCCTTAATCCCAGCACTTGGGAGGCAGAGGCAGATGGATCTCTGTGAGTTCAAGGCCAGCCTGGTCCACATTGTTCCAGGACAGCTGAGGCTATAGGGAGACCCTGTCTCAAAAAGACCAAAAGAAATTTTTTTTTCAGAAAGTACATTAGTATAGAGAAAACAGTTCAAGAATGAAAAAATACCCTATAGTCCCACTTTAATGCAATGTGTTTTTTTGTTATTTTTTTTTTAATTTTTTATTTTATGTGTATGTGTGTATTGCCTGCATCTAGGTAAGTGCACCCATGTCGTGCAGTGCCCTCAGAGAACAGAAGAGGCTGTTGGATCCCCTGGAACTGGAGTTACAGATAGTTGTTAGCTGCCATGTGGGTGCTAGGATTCGAACCCTGGTCTTCTGCAAGAACAGCCAGTGTTCTTAACCTCTGAGCCATCTCTTTAGCCCCTTAATGCAATCTTTAAAAAATTACTTCTTCATCTGTCCTCTATGGGCACCTGTACTCACATGCACAAACTCACACAAATACACACATACACATAATTTAAAAGTTTTTTTTTTTTTTTTTTTTTTTTTTTTTTTTTTTGTCTTTTTGAGACAGGGTCTCCCTGTAGCCCCAGCTGGCCTGGAATTCATTATGTAGACCAGGTTAGCCTTGAACTCAGAGCTCTGCCTGCCTCTGGCTCCTGAGTGCTGGGATTAAAGGCATACACCACCACTGGCATGGAAGTATTTTCAGATTTTACCAATTGCAACTCACCAATAATTTCTGCAAGTGTCTCAGTCCATTTGGGCTGTTACAGCAAACTATCTGAGGTATAATAATTTATAAGCTGTATAAAGTGCTGGGGGTTGGAAGTCTAAGATCAAGGTGCCAGCACATTCGATGCTCACTTTCTTACTGGTGTCCTCACGTGGTGGAAGAGGTGAACAGACCCACCCAGCAGAGCCCTGGTGACCTAATCCTTCCCAGAGACCCCACCTGCATAACACAGTCACTGTAAAATTTTGGAGGAACATGAATGTTGAGGCTATTGCAGTGTTTGTAGCAAATAGATTTCACAAAGATAATTGGTGAAAAATTTTTTGAACGTTTTTATGAGAGGGTGTCAAATATACAGTTATAAAACAAACATATATTTTTGTCTAATTCTTAAATTTACTTTTCAGTCTGAAGACCTGATTACATGTCGGTTGATGGTCCCAAACTTTTCAAACCAGATGGCCTATCTATATATGGAGAACGCTGTCTTCGTGTGCTCCACAGGGACTGGGAATTTCTCTCTTCCTCAGGAGAAAATTGTCTTTGATACACAAGGTATAGCAGCTGCTTTAGAGCCATAATTGGCCAGCTCATTAGCCATTCTTGATAGTTTCTGTTCTTTTTCTCTTCATTGTGCTTCAGGATTACTACCTGCCAGTTGTACTGAAAAACATTAATACTGTTTGCAGCAACTGAATTCACAGCCAGGCTGACAACTATAGGGTGGAAGAATTCTAGAACCTTTATATTTGCAGGCAAAATTAGTAACTTTTTTTTTTCCAGTTGATACCAAAAAGCAAAGAACCAGCACTGAGATGACTTATACTCTGAGTTGACATTCTTTGAACTAGTTTGCTCAACTGGCAAGAAGAATCCTGGGGATCTGGTCTGCAGTACAGACCAGACCAGCAAATACTCTGGCCAGGGTATTTACCTATTAGGACTTTTGGGGCAAAGCCACAGCTGGAGTCTGAGTGGTGGTCTGGCTTAGGGCCCTCAAGGAAGGGGGGACTGGTAGGTAGGCTGTTCTTAAAGCACAGAGTAAGCTGACTATTGTCTGGGTTAGCCTGATTGGTAAAGGCAGTCAGGCAGGAAGCTAGAAAACAGGGTGGAAAGGCTACCATTCTGAGTTTTGCAGAAAAAGAACTGGGGTGGGAGGCTTTACGTATGTATGTGTGTATGTGCGCATATGTGCATGTACATGTACATGTACATGTAGATACCGTAGAGGCCAGAAGGTGGTCTGATTCCCTGGAACTGGAGTCATAGGCACTTGTGGAGCTCCCCTTATGGGTACTGAGAACTAAACTTAGGTCTTCTGGAAAAGCAACAAGTGCTCTTCACCACTGAGCCCTCTCTCCAGACCATTTTTTATTGTCTTTAAACTGGAAAGGCAGTATACTTCTTTGCCTGGCAACAGGCTCTTGACATTTGATTCTGGAATTTAAAAGATGAGGCCAAAGCATAGTGTACATCCTGAAGTATATACAAGCATATACTTTGGAGGCTAAGGCAAGATGATGGTATAAGCCTGTGAGTTTGAGACTAGACTGGGCAGCATAGCAAGACTCCATCTCCTCAAAGAATGTAACAATTTGTGCAGCAGCATTATAAAAAAAAAATAGGGGTAATGTCATAAAGGAGGAAAGGTGGTGTTGGGTTTCAGGAAGTATTCTGTGCAATCTATGTGTTTGTTCTCTCTTAGGAGATGGCATTCTGGGTGCTGGCTCCTGTGGTGGTATTCCCATCCTCTTCTCTAGGAACAGTGGTCTGGTGTCGGTCACTCCAAGGGAAAGTGTGTCCCTATTAGCTGAAGACCTGGAAGAGTCCTTAGCCTCTTCGGTTGGTGGGCAGGGTAATGAGGTAAGGTGGTCCATAAGATCGCTTAACATTTATTTTTATTGGAACATTTCATGCCAGAAAAGTCAGGCAGTTTAGAAGGCTCAGGATGAAAACAGTTGTTTTGTCTCCTTCTTCTCATTGGTCCTGTCTCCTAGAGTAGCTACTTTTAGGTCTTTTGTTCATTCTCAGCTCTTTCATCTGCATCTCTGAGAAAAGTGCGTGTGTGTTGCTTGTCTCCCTTGTCACCAGTGTTGAAGATGAGAGCTGAAATAGCTCATAGTTCTTCCTCTCCTTTACCATCCCTAGTAGTAGGTTGGCAGGATGAATATTGATTTGGGGTCATGAGCCTGGGGGTGCACTGATGACATTTCCCACATTGTACGACTCTGTGTGATTCTTGGATTAGTAGCAGCATCATTTTCTATTTCCTGAATTGAATGCCCCACGTCCTCTATCAGCTCTGGAAGGTATTTAGCATAGCTCTTCCGTGGTCACTCAGAAAGCTTCATTTTGGTCCAGCTTATTCTGAAACTTCTCTTGCAAGTGCAGCCCCTCAGGACCTGTCCCTACCCATGAATGGAAGTCTGCCTGTCATAGTGTGGCTCTGGTCTGTGTCTCCTTTCTGTGGTAGCCACGCTTGCAGGATCTGCTACAGGTTGTCTTTTTCCTCAGTGGCCTGTGGCTCTCTGCCTATGGTAGTTAAGATACACAGGATCTGGATGCAGGCAGTCCTGCTGTTTCTTGTTATTCTGGGATGAAGTTTTGTTTTGGGGGGTTTAAAAAATATGTGGGAAGCTGGGCATGGTGGCGCACGCCTTTGATCCTAGCACTCGGGAGGCAGAGGCAGGCGGATCTCTGTGAGTTCAAGGCCAGCCTAGTCTACATAGTGAGTTCTAGGACAGCTGGGGCTACAGGGAGACCCTGTCTCAAAAAGACCAAAAAAAAAGAAAAAGTGGGGTATGTATGCCACACCATGCTTGTGGGGGTCACAGGTTGACTTTGTAAACTACATTCACTTCTTCCCCTTTTCCATGGCTTCTGGGGATCAAACTTAGGTCGACAGGCTTGTCCAGCAAGTGCCTTTATCCACTGAGTCATCTCACTGGCTCCATGGGATGAGTTTTAAAAAACTAATCATTACCAACATTACCTGAGGTAATGAGGTTTTAAAAAAAAATGAATTTTCTCTTATCTTGAAACCTGAAGTACTTTAAATTATAAATTTGGTTTGTTTTTGTTTTTTGTTTTTTTTTCCTTTCTGTTACAGAGGTTTAAAACTATATTGTTTAGGGATTTAGGGATATTTTTTTTTCCCTTCATAAAGTATGTGAAATATGTAGACAAATTTTTGTCGTCGTTTTGGTTTGTTTGTTTCTACAGGGTCTCCCTGTAGCCCCAGCTGGCCTGGAACTTGCTATGTAGATCAGGCTGGTCTAGATTGCACAGAGATCTGCCTGCCTCTGGACTAAAGACTTGCACCACCACACTGGGCAGTTTGTTTGTTTGTTTGTTTGTTTGTTTGTTTGAAACAGATTCCTGCTATGTAGCTCAGGCTGGCCTTGAACTGTTAGTCCTCCTGCCTTGTCTCCCCAGTTGCTAGGCTATAGACATGTTGCTACAACATCTGGCCTTTGTATAAACTTGATATTTAAAAAAATATTTATTTTTATTTGGGGCTGGAGAGATGGCTCAGCAGTTGGAAACGCTGACTGCTCTTGCAGAGGACCCAGGTTTGACTCCTAGCACCCACATGGTGGCTATGAACCATCCATAACTCCAGTTCTCGGGGAATCCGCTGCCCTCTTCTGACCTCCATGGCATCACATGACACAGTGCACTCACATAAATGCAGGCAGTACACTCACACTAATAAAATATTTTTAAATTTTTATTTATTTTTATTTAATATGTTTATTTTGTCTGCATGTATGTATTTGCACCACTGTGCAAGCAGTGCTTACAGAGGCCAGAAGAGGGCATTGGAGCCTCTGGAACTGGAGTTACAGTTGTGAGCCACCATATGGATACTGGGAACCAAACCCAGGGCCTCAAAAGAGCAGCAAGTACTCTTAACCACTGAGCCGTCTCATGTAATCATGTAACTATAGTGATACTGCTGCATGTTGTAAAGCTTTTTTAAAATTGTGTGTGAGTACATGTGTGGGTATATTCATGTAAGTACAGGTACCCATGGAGGCCAGAAGCATTGGATGCCCTGGAGCTGGAATTATGGGCAGTTGTGAGCCACCCGATGTGGCTGCTGGGAACCAAACTCAGGTCTTCTACAAGAGCAGCAAGTACTCTTAACTGCTGAGCCATCTCTCCAGCTTTCTGAGGCTACCTTATGCTATTCTATTTTCAGTTTTCCTAAATCCTGCTTAATCATATCATTGCCCATGTGCTTAGTAATGCACATTGGGATGAGCATAGGGATAGTCGTGCTGGCCGTGATCCTGTAGGGCTTTGGTAAGTGGTCTGCTGCTTATGTAAGTGAGCACATCCACAAGGTCAGGCAGGCCATTTGGTGAACAACTCTAGGTGTTTGGTTGTCACAGAATCTTTCTGCAGCAAGCACACATATTCTGGAACCTTGACCTCTAAGCTGTAGCTTGTCTCTTTGCAGAGTATGGTTTTTGAGGCCACAACCAAGAATGAAACTGTAGCTCACGAAGATAAGACGAAACTGCTTAAAGCTGCTTTTCTACAGTACTGCAGGTACAACACATTTTTGTTGTTTTGATACAAGGTCTTGCTGTGTAACCCAAGCTGGGCCACCTGTCTTGCCTCTCCTGGTGGGATTACAGCTGTGACCATCATGCCCAGAGGCACAGCACATTTTCAAAATCACAGCTTATTTGTGGGACACATTTTATTGGCGCTTGCTGCATGTTGGTAATGATGAGAGCAGGTTGGAGGAGTATGCCATCATGAGGAGCTTTTTCTGGGTGCTGGGGTTTCACACATGATTATCTGAGGCTGGCAGCCACAGGAGGCCCCAGCTAGGCTAGGAGAATCTGCTCTAATATAGCCTCCATGGGAAGCAATGGCCGTTAAAACTGGAAGTCCAGAAGACAACAGGCAAAGTCTCTAGTACAATATCCATGCAAAGAAGTTGCAGAAGGAGTTCTGTGGTTGTTATGAAAGCAGATGTTATGAAAGCAGACCTGGATGATTAGTTGAGATTTAGTTACCACAAAACTTAGTGATCCTTCCCCCAAGCTCAGATTCTGCAATTTGGCTGTTAGAGATCTGGTCAGGTGACAGTTGGGCAGATCCCAGCTGGGCTCTCATAGTAGCCAGATTCCAAGCTAGCTGCTCATGGCTGTACTCCTCCATTTCTAGGGCCTTGACTGGACAGCTCTCTGCTTCCTGTGGTCTTTTCTTGTTGTCATATTGATGTTTGAGGCAGGTAACCTGTAGGGGGGCGTCTGATGGTATACAGGCTGTTGAGCAGCACCCTGGCCTCTTGCCATGAGAAGCCTGCATCTTACCCCAACTTGTTACAATCATGTCACCTCCAAACATTGCCCAGTGTCCCTGAGGGTCAAAATTAGTAGATAAAACTTTTAACTATCATCTGTTTAGTTTTCATATTGTTTTGGGTTTTAAATTTTATTTTGCTTAAAAAATGTAAATACAAAATCTTGGGAACTTGGAGAAACTTACCCTGTAATTGGTTAGATTTTGTACAAGTGTTCTACAACCTGTAGTGAGTCAAGGCCTTGAGCTTCAGCCTGGCTATTCACATTTGGGGGCCATTTCAGCCCTTTTTGTCTGGGCCACCTCCTGCTCCCTTACTTTTGGTGGAAGTTATCATCTCCTGTGCAGAGACATCCCCACCCCGGACTCAGTAGAGAAGAGCCCCTAGAATTTAACTGTATACTGCCCTGTCCCTTCTACTGTCTCACAGGCTGCCTGGGCTTGTTTGCAGAATACCAGGGCTCCAGAGGTACCAGAGCATGCTTAGGACCCTTAGGACTGCCTGAAGTCTGCTGGTGTCTTCAGCTAGAACAAGTCCCAGGCTGCGTGCATCATGGGCTCAGGTTCACATCTGAGTAAACATCAGCTTATTTTCTGCCTATTGGGTAATTTCCTTGCTAGGCAGAATTGGTTCACATTTGAATACACACTTGGGAAGACCATGTCCCAGACTTGTGCTTTCCAGAGCTTGTGTGACTTTTGGTCATGTTGCTTACTGATTCTGACACTATTTCTCCTTTGGGTGGGATTGAGAAGAGTAAAGGATCAATAGTTTGCATAGCACATCTTGGTTTTGAAGAAATAGCAAATTTTCAGAATTTACTACTTCTTTTGCCGAGTTCTTAGGTCCTGTCCAATCATCCCACTCAGTGGTACGGGGCAGCTGCTCACCCACTGAAGTGGTGTCTAAGCCCTGGCAGTCTGATTGCATTGGTAATGATCTGCTTGCACTCCTGACTCCTGTCTGGGAGGGGGCGCCACTAGATAGAATGTAGTGTTCTTTATGACCTCATTCTGTTGTGTGGGTCAGTCTTAATGGAAAGACTTTTTTTCTTTTTACATAGGTTTCTCTTTAGTTACAGTTCTGTTAATAGTACATGAATGATAATGCAGCTTGCCACTGTAGTCATTATTTTGATTTCTTGTGACTACCAAAACAAATTACCATAAACTCTGTGGCTTATGGAGCCCACATCTGAGATCCCAGGGTCCATGGGGCCATGTTTCCCCTGGAGGTTCTGGGAAGAGCCTTCCTGCCTCCCCTTGCTATTTTCCTGACAGCCACAGCCACTGCTGGGCTTGCTGATGCTTCAGTTCCTGTTGTGTCTCCACTGCTGCTTGGTTTCCTCCCAGTGCTTGTCATCATTCTTTTTTGTTTGTTTGGAACAGGGTCTCCCTGTTACCCCAGCTGGCCTATAACTCACTGTCGCCCAGACTGGCCTCTGTCTTACAGAGATCCACCTGCCTCTGCTTCCTCAGTGCTAGAATTAAGGGTTTGTATCACCATGCCCAGCTGTCTGTTTTCTTTTGAGACAGATTGTGTAGCCCAGGCTGATCTGGAACTTGGCGATCCTCCTCTCTCAGCCCCAGGTATGTACCATTGCACCCAGCTCAACACATGACCTTGTAAGGGCACTAGTCATTGGATTTAGGGCCCAACTAATCCTGAATATGACAACTGTTTACAAAAAAGTATACTCTGAGACTAGGTGAACATGAGTGTGGGGTACTGCCCACTCAGTGCAGGCAGCTTGAGGTGTTTAAGGAGATGATTACCAGGAACGGCAAGAGGACCCCAGGCTGAGTAGTCTCAGAGACAGCTAGCTGTGCCCTAGACTCCCAGAGCTCTCCCTCATCAGATTTGTCTAAACTGCCATACTTCATATTATAACTAGAGTGACACCAGCTCCCTGTGGTCCTTGGGTCATGTGCAGATTCCACACCATGATGCACAGGGCTGTGTGTGCTTTGCTCTGTGTTTAAAAACCCTTCTGAATGTGGGTCACATTTGTCCCCTTGGCCTTGTTGGCACCTGGTTGTCTTCTCTAAACTGATTTGGCCAGTTTAGAAGAGTTGTTTTTTTTTTTTTTTTAGGGACTCACTGTCTTCCAGTCTGTGCTCTGGAAGTTTTTTCCCAAGCTCCTCGTCCTAGGCTGCCTATGCTTTGCATCTGAGTCAGTGTCCTTGCTGACCAGCAAGGACTCAGGACCTGTGCTCTGTGGGTGGCTGACACTGCATTCTCTTTCGCCCCCTTGGCCTCCTCCTCTCAAGAATTTTCTTTAACCTCTGATAGATTGGTTGTCCTTCTGTGTACTCTATGGCTCTATTAGTTACTTTTCTCATTGTTGTGACCAATTACCAGATTAGAAACAGTTTAAGGAGGGCTTAGAGTTTAAGGGATCATTCTGTTGTCGGGGCAAGGCATGGTAGCACGAGGAGATTGACTGGTCCCATTGCATCCACAGTCAAGAAGCATCATAGTGCATGGCTTTACTCGTCTTGCTCTCACTTTTTTTTTTCAGCCTGGCAGTTATAGTAGGTCTTCCCACTAGGGAAAACTTCCAGAGATTTGTCTTTAAGGTAATTCTGGATCCCATCAAGTTGATGGCATCCAGAACAGGGGCCCTGTCCTAGTACTTGCCACTGATGTATCATTGTTTAGCAGCCTGACTCCCAACACTGACTTTCTGAAGCCCAGGGCTGATTTCAGTGAGTTGACCATTCATTGTCTAGTGCCTGGTGTGCCAGAAATATTCAGTGTATTGATGAATTCATGACTGCACAGAAGCTGTCTTTTTGAGACAGGGTCTCCCTGTAGCCCCAGCTGTCCTGGAACTCACTGTGTAGACCAGGCTGGCCTTGAACTCACAGAGATCCACCTGCCTCTGCCTCCTGAGTGCTGGGATTAAAGGCGTGTGTCACCATGCCTGGCCTAGAAGCTGCCTTTTAATGAAATAAATGTTAACAGTTCTGTGGGCTAAAACTTGTACATGGATTTTTTTTCTTCTTCTTCTTCTTTTGGTCTTTTTTATCTTTTTGAAACAGGATCTCCCTGCAGCCCCAGCTGGTCTGGAATTTACTATGTAGACCAGACTGGCCTCAATCTTAGAGATCTGCCTGCCCCTGCCACTGCTGGGATTAAAGGCATGTACCACCATGCCTGGCTGTGAGTTTGAAATTGTTTTTATCTCCATTGCACTTCTGTGTTCCCATCTTACTACAGGAAGGAGTTTGGCCATGCCCAGATGATGGCTGACGAGCTGTTTTCCTCTCATGCTGATTTGGAGTCAGATTCTGAGCTAGACAGAGCTGTGACCCAGATTAGCGTGGACCTAGTGGATGACTACCCTGCCTTGGACCCGAGGTGGGCCGAATCTGTTCCCCAGGGTAAGGAGACTAATTGAATGTGATGGAGGGATCATGACAATGCAGAACAAAGAATGTTTGTTTCTGCATTCAGCAATCAGCATTTTTGTTTTTTAGTTTCTCAAGCAATTGAATATTAACAACAACAACAACAAAAATTTAAGGTGGTAACCTTCTTAAGGCAGCTTTTGAAAAGAGCCCAGAACAGATGGCACTGTGTGTTTTTAGAGAGTGGAATCTGAAGGGACATTGGAGCGGGTCCTGGTAACTCTCAGCATTTCATTTCTAAAAGGACTTAATTGTGTTGGTTGGCATTTGGTACTCACTTGCCCCAAATTAAATGATAATTTTGTCATGGTCTGTACATTTGGCTAGTAGGAATAAGCTTTGGAGCTGTTCTGGGTATGTAAAGTAAACACCTCCTGTCCATCTGTCCCTTTTAGTCCATTCTGCATTCCTGGTTACCAGAAAGTGCCTCAGACATTCATTTTTGCCGATGATTCTGCATCAGGCAAGTTGCCTGAGCCTCACCAGGGGCATAAGGAGGAGCTGACACCACCCCCTTTCCTTGCTATTTCCTTGGAGCCCAACCGTACAGTGACTGGACCAGGGCATACTATTTGTATTCTGTAAATACAGTATGGATTGTATCAATCCCAGTAAGTTTTCCTCTGAATTTTATAAATCTTTTTTGAGACAAGGCTCATTGTTAAAGCTCAGGATGTTCTGGAACTTACTATATAGCCCATGCTTGAACTCCACAGCAGTCTTCCTGCCTTTGCTTCCCAAGTGGTGAGATTGCAGATTTGAGTGACCACTGAACTATATTTCCAGTCTTAAAACTCTTGAGTGCTATAAATAATTTTCTTCCTTGTAAATCTTAACTTTCTACTTTCTAGCAGGAACTGTTCTGAAAGCAGTGTTTTGAGCTTACTTACATTTTGTATTTTGACAGAGGCCCCTGGGCTGAGCAATACCTCACTGATCATTCTTCACCAGCTAGAGGACAAGATGAAAGCCCATTGCTTGCTGATCGACTTCCTTCACCAAGTAAGTGTCAGCACTGGGCCAGGAGGTGGACTTGGTGCACCAGCCCGGTGGGACATCCCTGCCTGGAGCATTTCCTTGTGAGAACCTGGCTAGGATGATGTAGAAGTAAATAATTCCAGAGCCATGTGTCAGATGTCTGTCATTCCTGTGAGACCAATACTTTTTTTGTTTTTGTTTAAATTTGTGAGATTATGTCTCATGTATCCCAGGCTGGTTCTAAAACTAGCTATATAACTCAGGCTGGCCCTGAACACCTAGTCTTCCTGTCTCTACCTTCCAAGAGCTAGGATTACAGGCTTGTTCCACTTCACTCATCTGTGACCAATGCTTTTTAGGTTTTATTATTATAATGATTGTGTTTACTCTTTGTCTTTGTGTGTGTGTGTGTGTGTGTGTTTGATTGCATGTGTGCGTGTATCTGGTTTACATAGTGAGTTCCAAGCTATCCAGGACTACATAGCGAGACCCTGTCTCAAAAATAAAACTAAATAGGGGCTGGAGAGATGGCTTAGTGGTTAAGAACGCTGACTGTTCTTGCAGAAGACCCAGGCTCTAATCCTAGCACCCACGTGGCAGCTAACAGCTGTCCATAACTCCAGTCCCAGGGGATCCGACAGCCTCTTCGTCTTCCGTGGCCATTGCATGACATGGGTGCACTTAATTACATGCAGGCAATAAAATTTTTTTTTTTTTTTGTCTTTTTGAGACAGGATCTCCCTGTAGCCCCAGCTGGACTCACTATGTAGACCAGACTGGCCTCAAACTCACAAACATCCGCCTGCCTCTGCCTCACATGTGCTGGGATTAAAGGCATGCACCACCACGCCCGCCTAATAAAATATTAAAAAATAAAACTAAATAAAAACGGGATTTTATCCAGATTTCCTGAATGCTTTTCTTTAAAAACAGGTTTTCATACATTGGTTTTGTATGTTAGAAAGAACATGACATTGGCAGGCTGGCCCCAATGGAAGAAATATGGAAGTTATCTTCCTTATGATGGGTGGAGTGCAAAGTCATACTGAGAGGTGGTGTTTTAAGTGAGGGCCAGTGACAAATGTTGACAAGAGACACTTATCAGAGACCACAGGCACCTAGGGTGTGGGCTGCACAGCCTCTCAGGGCCCTAATGGAGTCTCAGCTGCACACAGTGCTAGCTGCATGTGCAGACCTGATCCTGTGGTGCCTTTTATGTTCACATTTTCTTTCATCTCCATAGCTTTGTCACTGTGCTGACAGTATTTGCCTTCACCACCAGGGAGCAAGTACAACCAAGTGCTCTAAGGCAGGTTTCTGCATGTGTGATCTGTTCCTGGGTCCTCTTCATGGTCAGTGGGGCCACACCCTCTGAAGAGGGTGGCAAGTCCCTGGTGTGGAGGCAGAGACAGTTTAGTACAGACTCTTGACTACAGTGATCTTAAGTGCTCAGCTGCAGTTCCACTCTGAGTCTCCTTCTAACTGTGCCTTCTGATTACTCCCCCGAGTGCTCCCTGCTAAATACTTTCTGGAAGAACTCTGCCTTTTTTTTTTTTTTTTTGTATTCCTGTAGCCCCAGCTGGCCTGGAGTTCACTGTGTAGACAAGGTGGGCCTTGAACTCACAGAGATCTGCCTGCCTCTGCCTCCCAAGTGCCGGGGTTAAAGACGTGTGCCACCACACCCGGCTTAGAAGTTACCTTTTTTTAAGACTCATTTTTAAGGTTTTTGAGTGTTTTGCCTGAAGTGTACCACATGTATGTAATGTCCATGGAGGGCAGAAGGGGGCATCACATCCCTTGGAACTGGAGTTAAGGATGGTTGTTAGTTGCCATCTGAGTGTGGGAACCAAACCTTTGAGGGAACTAGAAAGTGAATTCAAATCATAAAAACTAACTTTCACTTTAAAATTATTGTCTGAACAAGTTGAATGAAGACAGATAATCTAAACGAAATACACGGCTATTAAAAACAATATGGGGCTAGAGAGATGGCTCAGCAGTTAAGAGCACTGGCTGCTCTTTCAGAGGATCCAAGTTCAGTTCCCAGCACCCACATGTAGTCCAAAACTCCAGTTCCAGGGGAATCTGACACCCTTTTCTGACTTCTACAGGCATTACATGACACAGATGCACTTACATGAAGGCAATACACTCATACATATAAAAAATAATAAGGGCTGGAGAGATGGCACAGTGGTTAACACTGGCTGTTTTTGCAGAAGACCCGGGTTTGAATCCCAGTACCCATATGGCAGCTAATAACTGTCCATAACTCCAGTTCCAGGGGATCTGATAGCCTCTTCAGTCTTCTGTGGGCATTGCATGGCACGGGTGTACTTACCTACATGCAGGCAGTACATGCATACACATAAAATAAAAATAATAAATATTTTAAAAATAATAAAATAGTTTATTCCTTTTTATCATTCTATGCCTGTGTGTGGATAGGTGCAGGTCACACATTGTACCCACGTTGTACAGTGCCTGCAGAGATTAGAAGAAGATATTGGATCCCTTGGACCTGGAGTTATGGACAGTTGTTAGCTGCCATGTGGGTGCTGGGATTCGAACCCAGGTCCTCTGCAAGAGCAGTCGGTGCTCTTAACTGCTGAGCCATCTCTCCAGCCCCATAAATACAATACTTAAAAACAATAATCTGCCGGGCGTGGTGGCGCACGCCTTTAATCCCAGCACTTGGGAGGCAGAGGCAGGTGGATCTTTGTGATTTGGAGGCCAGCCTGATCTACACAGTTCCAGGACAGCTGGGGCTACAGGAAGACCCTGTCTCAAAAAAACAAAAAACAACCAATAATCTAGGCTGGAGAGATGACTTACTGCTCTTGACTGAGCAAATTCTGCCTTATCCAAATTCAGTTTCCAGTGCCCACATGAGGCAACTCACAATCACCTGTAACTTCAGCTCCAGGTGGATTGGTCTGTGTATAGCCCTACCCCTACCCCTACACTTGGGAGGCGGAGGCAGGAGGATCTCTGTGAGTTCAAGGCCAGCCTGGTCTACATAGTGAGTTCTAGGACAGCTGGGGCTATAGGGAGACCTTGCCTCAAAAAAAAAAAAAGACACACACCCCACCGCACCCCCACCATGCCTGGCTCAGAAATGGCTCTTAAACACATGCATGCACGCATGCACGTCTGTAATTATGAACAAGTCAATCCTGTCAGCTAGAAGAAACTTCAGAGCTACATGTCCGGCACAAACCGCTTTGTCTTCAGGCTTAGGGTTTTTTTCTTTGGGGGAATGTTTTTTGGAACAAGGTTTCATGTGGACAAGGCCAGCCAAAACTGACTCTGTAGGTGAGGCTGGATTTGAACTCCTGATCTAATAGCCTCACTTTCCCAGTTCTGGAATTGTAAGTATACACCACCACACTTACTATGTATATGTGTGAGCACAGGCATTCATGTGGAGTTCAGAGGACAACTTTTAGGATTAAAGTCAGGTCATTGGGCTTTTACCCACTGAGCCATCTCACTGCCCTGTCCTCTTTTGTGTTTTTGAAACAGGGTCTCCCTGTAGCCCCAGCTGGCCTGGAACTCACTGTGTAGACCAGGGTGGCCTTGAACTCACAGCAATCCACCTGCCTCTGCCTCCCAAGTGCTGGGACTACAGGCGTGCACCACCATGCTCGGCTTGTTTTTGAAACTCTTAATCTGCTAGAGTATACAGAAGCAGAAGTAGCAAGGATGGGGGAATCAGATCACTTACTGTAAGAAATGACACTTCAGGGTCTAGAGAGGTGGCTCAGTGCTTAAGAGCTGGCTCCTCTTACAGAGGACCTGGGTTCAGTTCCCAGCACTCACATGGCAGCTAACAACTCTCCTAACTCCAGTTCCAGGGGATCCAGTGCCCTATTCTGACCTCCATGGGCATTTTACAACAGAGGTGCACTCACATACATGCATGCAATACACTCATATACATAAAATGAGTTTTTAAGAATGACACTTCGGTTTGGAAAGTGGATCATTGCTTCCTGAGTCTTGGCTGCTTCATAGTTTCCATCATTGTAGTATTTCTCCACTGGGTAAACTAGATCCCAGCAACACACCAGAAATGGGTACAGGAGGTACAGAGGGCTGATGCCTGCCCTTCAGCCATGGCCCAGGTTCTGAATATCAGCCCTTGAGATGGTGGTGCTGTTTCCTGTTGATAAAGGTCTGGAATCCAAGAGTTCACTGACACAGATGGGAAAGAGCCATTTGTCCATTTTGAACCTGTGAACAGAAGTTTGAAAAATAGAACAGCCATGAGTAGAAACCCTGGGGTGACCCTAATGGGACCTCTACACTTCCCTGCATGGGTGTTGTGAGTGTGCCTTGCACACAGTGGCATTGGTGACAACTGGAATGACTCTTGTCAGGGAAGCTCCAGGGAGAATGGCCACATTTTCTGCTTTCTGAGAACAAGTCCTTATGTTTTGCAAGGTCGGCTTGTTTAGGCGTCTGAGCACTTCTTCGATCAGAGGGACACCCATGACCACCCGACTGTTGCTCTGTGAACACGCAGAAAAGCTGTCAGCAGCCATTGTACTCAAGAACCACCACTCTCGGCTGCCAGACCTTGTGAACTCAGCCATTCTGCTCGCCCTGAACAAGAGGGAGTGTGAGGTTCCAGCCACCCTGACTCCTGCTGATGTCTTCTTTCGAGAGGTCAGGTGCACCCTCAATGCTTGCCTTCCTGTGTCTTCATTGCACCCTGCCATGGCTGGTCATCCCTAGCAGGGCAGAGAGTGCTAAAAGTTGTCATTGAAATGTTGAATTGGACTCCCAACTTTCTGGATACCAGTTCTCTGGATAACTGCTTGCCCTGTAGGCAGAGTGTGCATTTCTTGTCTCTACAGCCTCTCTTGATGGGCATAGGAAGCTATCCTTAGTAAACCCCTAGACCTATAACTTGCTGGGTGAAAGTTTGGGTACTCTGCAGGCTGGAAGTCAGAATAGCTGCTCTCTGGCATCTTCCCTGGCTTGTACCCACAGCTCGTAGACTGTTTTTCTTTGTTAGAAACCCAGTTTCTTTTTCTAATTTTCACTTTTTTTTTTGGTTTTGTTTTTTGGTCTTTTTGAGACAAGGTCTCCCTGTAGCCCCAGCTGGCCTGGAACTCACTATGTAGACCAGGCTGGCCTTGAGCTTACAGAGATCTGCCTGCCTCTGCCTCCCAAGTGCTGGGATTAAAGACGTGTGCCACCACGCCCAGCCATGTGTATTTATTTTTATGCGTGTAAGGGTGTGTGTGTGTGTGTGCGCGTGTGCGTTCCATGGCACATGTGCAGGTCAGAGGACAACCTGTGAGCTTGGTTTTCTCCTTCTACCATGTTGGTCCCAGGGATTGAACTTGTCATCTGGGTTGGCAGACACCTTTACCTACTGAGTCATATCACTAGTCCAAGACTAGCTTCTGTTCAGCTGACTGTGTGCTAGTGACCGTCTCTTCACATCATCCCTCGCCCTCTGGGGTGCTGTCCATCCCTGGTGGACCCTCAGTCTTTCGGTATCTTTGTGAACATCACTGATCTCTCAGCCCCTCTGAAAATCCTGATCCCTTGCTTTGAAAGAGAAGAAAAGTGCTGTAGACTTTGGAGTGAGAGGAGTTGCTAGCCACAAGGGTGGCAACTGTGTTTTGCAGTGGGAACTTAGTTCCTCCCCTGCCTCACAACCTAGTATGTCAGGGAAGACCTTACTGTCTTTAGAGAAGTGATGTAGGGCTCAGATGCAGTTGTTTCCACCAAGATAACAAAGCCTGATTCTAAGCGTAGTTCTCAGCCCTGGTTTTTTTTTTTTTTTTATGTTTCAGTGACACTTTTCCTTGCTTTAATATTTGTTGCCTTTTTCTGCTTTTGAAATGAGCTTTCGATGACAAAATATCAAGCTACACTCAAAAGAGAGTGTAGAAAAAGCTAGCCATTGCACAGCATGGAGATGCCCACAAGTAAGGACAGAGAGCAGCAGTAGGTGGCAAGAGGCGGGAAGTGACTGAAGCAGTGGTTACAAATGTTCACAGGAAGCTAAAACTATACAACGGGGTGAACTCTAATATCAGTACAGGGCAGACTGGTCACTACCTGGGTGGGTGTCGTATTGTTTGGGCTCAGGTTCTACACAGCAGTACAATTTCTTCCAGTTAAAGAGTTCTTGGTTTGCACCGATTACAGGGTGGCTGGACGATACTGGACCAGTTTATTAGTTTTTCAAAATGCTGTCGTAGACCTGGTAGATGTATAGAGAGACTTCAGGAGCTCTACACTTCAGTGACAGCGTATAATTGGGGTTTCCTGGCTGGATCCGTAGCTCAGCCAAAATCCAAATGCCATTAGTGAGCTTCAGGGATTGGTACAGCATATCTTGTCCTTCCACATTCCTCTTGGCAATAGTGTAAACATTGTTGTTTTGCAACTTGCTGGACACAGTGTCAGCATTTAAATGACATTCCTTAATCTGAAATTGGAGTTCATTTTCATTAGGAATATCCTTCCATGTGGCAAGGAAGACCTGGCGCTCCATTTTGCCATCTTCTACAAAAAGCACATTGAGTGGGATGAGGCAGCTGAAGTAGAAGACATCAATGTTGTTTTTAACAGCCACCTGCAGATTATTCAGAGGTTCCATCTTCATGACTGGGCCCAAGGTATTAAGAGGTAGAGAGACATCAATACTCTGATTTGGCATCAGTGGAGTATGGATGGCCAAAGGTGTGCTTGGGATGACACCAAAGCTATTCTTGTTAAACTGGATAGCAAAGTCTGTCATATGTTGCAAAGCTTTATTGGTGAAGTTCATTTCCATGTAGATGTGCCCTTGGCGGTGAGTAAATGTTCCTGAAATCTCCAAGCCTTTAGCTTTTACTGCAGGCAGCCAGACCGCCTTAGGTGCCACATATCCACCAGGTGCCATGCCTATTCCTGTAGAAAGTTCAAATAGGTCATTCAAACCACTACTGACCACAGCAGGAGTAGGTGAGGGAGCGAAGGTTGCAGGCACTGATGACGGGATGAAGGACTGTCCTACTGCCGGACTTCCTCCAATGCCCCCGCCAAGGTCACTGCCAAGCAGACTATCCAGTCCTCCTCCTAAGAGATCTACTACTACTCCCATCTGCATGGAGGATACCTGTGGCACATTTACTGGGGGACCCAGGTCAAGATTTGAAAGATCCCCCAGAAGGTCACCTTGAGAGGGGATGACCTGTGGCTGTTTCAGGTTGGTTGCTGTGGTGGTGCCAACAGGGCTATCACCTGCATCAGTGCTCCCATGATGAATAGGCAAGTGTTTGCGTTGGATCCCATGACTCCCCTCCACAAAAGCATTTGGAGGTTTATGGTACACAGAGGCCAAAGAACCAATGTGGCAGATTAGCTCATCCAGGAGGGTTGGTTCAATAAGGTCTGTCTCCTCAGAGATCAATGGTTTCTCAGACAAGACTACTTCTTTGGCTGTCACAGGGTCAGTTGAAAGAAGGCGCCAATAAATATAACCCCGATCTTGGAGGTCAGGATTATCAGAATCCTGTGTGGCCAAGCTCAAGACCTGTTGGACCAACTCCTGTGTCTCTGATGGTTTCTTCAGAAACAGCTTCACTATAGCAGTAAGCAGAGTGAGCTGTACCTGGGTACTTTCATCATGAAAACCCTCTAGGAAGCTCTCCAGTAACTCATCTGCATTATCAATTCTTTCAGCATATTCTCCTACAATCCAAATCATAGCTGCTCGAGCATCTGGCTCATCCAGGGAGTCTAAGTTCTCACAGAGAATGGCGATGATACTTTCATACTTGTTGGGATATTTTCGGAAGATGTCTCTGATGACAACAATTGCCTCTTGAACCACATAATTTACTTTGGTCTGGATTAGATCAAGCAATGTGCTTACACAGCGCTCTGCTGATTGCTCCACTTTGATGGCACATCGTCCAATGGCCCACACAGCTTTCCGAACAAAGTCAACATCTACTTCAGTGGCATATTCCTTCAGCTCTGCAAGAACCTGAGCAATGTTGGCTTGGTATGCCAGACGAATCATGATGTCCAACTTCTCTAATTTAACATAGATAGGGTCATTGTACTTCACAAAGAAGACTTTGATTTCCTGCTTCAAGATTTCTGGCCTTTTCTGGACAATCAGGTTGATGTTCCTCAAGGCAACATACTGCACTTCTGGTTCCCCAGACAGCAGAGTGACAAGTGGGGGAGCTAACTTCTTCAGCAGCATATTGTAGTAGTCGGAGTCCTTGGGTAACAATTCTAGAAATTTCATGAGGACTTTTACCGCTGAAAGCACCACTGCTGAGTTGGCATGGGATAGCCGAAGAGTTACTCGCTCACAGATGCTCTGAGCTTCCCGGTCATCTTTTGGGTTATAATTAGACAGACAGTCCAAGATAAAGATCTGGCCCCATTCAGTGCACTCATTCAGGGCTGTGAGCAGCTTATTGATGTTCTGGGGGTTCAGATCGAGTAAGTTGCTGTTTGGGTGAGACTCACTGATCTCAGACAATGCTGCTACAGCATTAGCCACCACCATTGGATTTGAATCTGCTATGAGATCCCGTAGCGAATCCAGAAATCCCTGATCTTCCACCATCTGGGCATTGATATCATGGAGTTTTGCCACACAGACTGCTGCTGTTTTCCGAACGTAGGGGTCTTCATCCTTCAAGCACTTGCGGAGGGGTTCACAGAGATATTCTGTAATCTTGTCCACTCGAATGCACCCCATGGTTCTAACTGCCAAAGCTCGAATCAAAGGATTGGGATCTTCACAATCCTTCACAAAGCTGTTGACAGCCATGATGGCCATGTCTGGCTGACTCTTGGCATAATTCATCAAGTAGAGGTATACAAGCTTCTTTAGTTCCAGGTTGTCAGTCTGCATACAGTTCACTACATCTGGAAAGAGAGAGCTAACATCCTTCCCCACGGTCATAGCGGCAATCACTTTCTTCACAGCCTCCTTCCTCTTTTCTTTCTTTTCATTGTTGAGTTCTGCTTTTAATTCAAAGATTTCTCCCTTTTTATTGGTTGTGAAGTACTTGGAGTCAGTCATGATTTTGGATCTTCAATGTGCACTGGAGGCAAGGGCGGGGTGGCGGCGGCAGACAGAGCACAGCCGGGGAGGTGGTGTAATGGTTTCCTGCCCATCACGACTCTAGGTCTAAGCTCTCAGCCCTGGTTTTTATAATAGCACATGTGTCGCTTACTTCCGAAGTATGCAGTCCATAACTCGGACATTCTGTCTCCCTTTGTAGTGTTGCCTTAGTTAGACACAGTTCAGCTCTGTCCTCAGCTCCTAAACCCTTGAGGAGCCTCTCACTGCTGGTGCTCGAGCTGCCTCTTCCTCTTCCAGCCTGACTGTGCCCAGTGACTCATAGGCTGGGCCAACATGGCTCCTCTTGACATTTGAAGTGCTATAGCAAAGTTCAAGCTGGGCTCAGTCTCCTCCTGCCTCAGTCTCCAGAGTGCTGGGAATACAGGTATATACCACCATTCCCAGCTTAAGTTCAGACTTTCTGTTCATCCTGTAAATATATGTAGTTTAGATTTCTTCTTTTTTAATTCTGTGGGGTACATATGTGCCATAAGAGTGCAGGTTCCCACAGAGGCTACAGGCAGTGGATGTCTTCAGAGCTGGAGTTGTAAGCAGTTGTGTGCTGGCGAGCATAGGTGCTGGGAACTGAACTCAGGTCCTTTGCAAGAGCAAGACACTCTTTAACTGCTAAGTCATCTCTCTATAGCTCCCCAGATTTCTTGTTTTTATATGTTGGGTTAGTTCCTAAGGAATGTGAGGAAAAACCTTTTGAAAGCAAAGTAGGATAGTCTTTTATTCCCTTTTTTTTTTTTTTGGTCTTTTTGAGACAGGGTCTCCCTGTAGCCCCAGCTGTCCTGGAACTCACTATGTAGACCAGGCTGGCCTTGAACTCACAAAGATCCACCTGCCTCTGCCTCCCAAGTGCTTCTGTGTGCCACCACGCCTGGCTTCTTTTACTCCTTTTAAAAAATATTTTCTTATTTTTATTTTATATGTATGAGGATATCGCCTGCATGTGTACAAGTGCATGCATTGTCATGCAGTGCTTGTGGAGTCAGAAGAGGGTGTTGGATTTGTCTGGAACTGGAGTTACAGATGGTTGTTAGCTGTCAAGTGGGTCCTGTGAATCAAACCCAGGTCTTCTGCAAGAGCAGCCAGTGGTCTTAACTGCTGAGCCATCTCTTCATCCCCTTGCCTTCATCAGGTTTCTTATTCATTTGAAGTTTTTTGTTTGTTTTTGAAGTAAGAGTCTCCCTGTAACTGCCTAGCTGCCTTGGAACTCCTATGTAGACCAGGCTTACTTCAGTCTCATAGTGATCTACCTGCCTCTGCCTCCCAAGTGCTGGGATTAAAGGCCTGTGTCATTACATTCATCCTAACAGCCTGCTTTTTTTCTTTTTTCTTTTTTTTTTAATTAAAAATTTTAATTTTGTGTGAGTGTATTGCCTGCATATGTGTAAGTGTACCCCTGTCGTGTAGTACCTACAGAGGTCAGAAGAAGGTGTTAGAGTCCCCTGGAACTGGAGTTAAGGATGGTTGTTAACTCCCATGTTGGTGCTGGGAATTGAACCCAGGTCCTCTGCAAGAGCAGCAATGCTCTTAACTGCTGAGCCATCTTTCCAGCCTCCAGCCTGCTTTCTTACATAACCTAGGACTGCCTGTCCCGGGGTGGCACTGCCCACAGTAGACAGGGTCCTCCCACATCGCTCCACAATCAAAGTGCCTCACAGATATGCCCAAAGGCCAATAAGATAGAGGAAGTTACCTAGTTGAGGTTCCCTTTTCTCAGATATGTCAAATTGACAACTGGAATTATCTAGCACAGGCATATGCACTTTCCCCTCCCCTGAACCATAGGGGAGGGGCTGGAATAAGATATTTATAAAAAGTATTTGAAGGATATGTTACAACCAAAATGAAAACATGCTTTTCAAAGTACAGTCAGGTGAAAGTAGTTGTGTTGAATGGCATTATGTCCACCTCATGGTGAGTATGTCTTTGGCTCCCTCAGTCAAAGTGCTCAACATCCTCCCGGTGATGTAATCCAGAACGATAACAGATCTCTACTAGAGCCTTTCTTTCTCCCTCTCTCTGTCTGTGAGTAGCAACTTAGGTTTCTGAAGGCAGTTAGCTTTTTAAGAAGGGCTAGTTAGCCCATATCAGCCATAGAGAGAGGTTTTGATTTGGCATCCCTCATGGAAAGTACAAGGACATAGGCCTGGCTCTGGAGGCACACGTTGCTGCTGACCTACCTTGAAAAGAGGTGTAAAACCATCCAAGGCTTCATGATAGCAGTGCTATTTAGAGTAGGCTGTGTTGACACAGCAAAAAAGCTTTTTGCTTTTATGTTAGATAGTCATCCCTCAGTGTCTGCAGGGGGCTTGTTCCGGGTTTCCCACTCCATGGATACCCAGATCCAAAGACCTTGTACACATCCTCTTGGGTACTATAAATCATCTCTAGGTTCCTTTGAATACCTAAAATAACAGTGGCAAGTGAAAAGACTCTAACATTCTTGGTTTTACATTTACTTTCACTATTAAGTCAATGTATTTTCCTCTGTTGAGTGATCTAAAGATATAGCTTACTAGGTAAAACCTGCTGAGTGATCATCCCCATGACTCTGGTGACAGTGACTCTTGTCTGCCCTCAGGTGTCCCAGGTGGACACCATCTGCGAATGTCTGCTGGAGCATGAGGAGCAAGTCCTTCGGGAGGTGGCACTAGACTCCCAGGAGTGGGTAGAGGTGGCAGTCGACGTCAACACAGTGCTCAAGGTACCATGTGGTAGTAATGGTGTCAAAACCACAGCCCAGTGCAGGGAGGGATAAAGTATTTTTTTGTTTTATTTTTTGGGGTTTTTTTTTTTGTTTTTTTTGTGGCGGGGGGGGCGGATTCTTTTTGAGACTCCCTGTAGCCCCAGCTGGCCAGGAACTCAGAGATCCACCTGCCTCTGCCTCCTCAGTGCTGGGATTAAAGGCATGTACCTCCACGCCCAGCTAGGAAGTGGTTTCTTTATTCCTGCTCTGTGTTGCTGGCAGGTAGTGCGGTTACAGCGATTTGTTGATTTCATAAAGCTAGAAGAATAGTTTGCATTTTATCAACTAACAAAAAATTTGAATGTTTCCTTTGTGCATGTTAATGAATTTCTGCAATTCTCACTTTGTTTGATAGCCTTTTCCTTTGGAGAGGGATGTTTGTGTCCTTGGAAAGGTGTTAATGATAGTGTCTAAATCCTCACCTCTCTTGCCTTGAACTCCTGTCCCAGGCCAAGTCTTCCAAGTAGCTGAGACCACAAGCACATACCACTGTGCCTCCCTTCTCTTTTTCAGTTATTCAGAACTTGTTACTTAAATCATTAAGTTGTTTCATTTAATTTTGCCTATTAGACTGTATAGTGCTGGGTTTTCTGCTTTGGTTACTTTAATTTTCCAAAGTGAAAAATTCTGGAATAAACAAATACATATTTTTGAGTTTTTATTGTGTGGATGTGTCTGTGTCTACCACATGCATACTGGTACCCCTAGAGACCAGAAGAGGGCATCTGATCCCATGGAGCTAGAGTTACATGTGGTTGTGAACTGTCTGGTATGGGTGCTGGGAATTGGACTTCAGTCCTCCGGAAGAGCAGGAGAAAGTGTTACTAAGCTATCTCTCTAGTCTCCTTAAAACAAAGTTTGAAAGCAGAAAGAGACAAGTGCTGAGTTTTTTTCTTAACAGTAGGCTGCTGTTTCAGGTCATCTTTAGATATAATGGCCCATAGAATGAAATTAGCTGAATTATGAGAACAGTTGTTCTTACCACCTTTAAGAGAAAGAAACTAACTGAATTATAGCAACAGCAGCCCATAGCTTCCCATGTATAATAACATGTTTCATTTTTCAGGACATGCTTCAGGCTGCCACTCACTATCGCCTAAACAGAAGCTCCATGTATAGTCGAGAAGATCCACTTGGGGAGGAGCCTGAGTATGTGCCATGGACAGGTACCATGCTGGTGAATTAGCTTTTCAGAGCATGTTCCTGATGGTCCTCATGGTAGATGCTATGTTAGTCCCTAGGACAGGTTTATGAGTGAAATGAAAGAAAACTGCTGAAAATGAAGTTCTTGCCAGATTCATTGTGCTCCCATGGGACTATTTATTGCCACTGCCCCCATGATTGTATATCTGAGTTGAGTTATGGTGTACCTGCTAGGTGTTAGTACTGAAGCATATGCTGGCCCTTGGGGAATGGGCTGTTTATATTCCTATCACAGATTAGGTGGTGTAGCAGTAAAGGAAGTGAGAAAGAAGAGGGATCGTTTGTACCTGTGTTGAGGAAATCTCCACTGAGGAGAACGATGGGGTCCAAGCAGGGCATGGGCAGGAAGAGAAAGATGGGCTTTGAGCAGGGCATGGACAGGTATCATCTAACCCTGGTTTGTTTTCCTAGAGTAGTAAAGCAATCTAATTTTTAGGCAGTTGATCTTTTCCCTCACTGTCATAGAACCCCTTCTCAGGAAGTTACTTTGTGGACTTGACAGCCACGAGTGGTCCTGCGGGCATCCGCACAGCGATCATGCGCCAGCATGGGATCATCCTACAGACAGTTTACCCCCAGGCTGACAGCAACCTCCGGAGTATTGTGACAGAGCAGCTTGTGGCACTGATTGACTGCTTCCTGGACAGTTACGTTTCCCAGCTGAAGTCTCTAGAGAAGTCCAGTGACCAAGAAAGATACAGCGATCTGGAAGTGGAGTACCTGCAGAAAAGATCAGACCTTCTCTCTCCTCTTCGTGAGTATCTGAGAGTCAGCAAGCGCTGCAGTCTGCATGTGGGACAGATCAGGGGTGGGGATCTCACACTATACAGTCTGCAGTGTTCATCCAGCTGTGACCAAGAATGGAAAGCCAGGCACACTCAGACAGCTTTCTGTGTTCGCGTCATACAGTTTAATTTCAGTGCTTATTCTGATACAAGTACCACAGGAAATTCATTTGATTGAGAAATGAGTAGTTAAGCTATGGAGATGCCCTTAGTCAAAGAGCTCAGCATCTGGGCTTAGTGCTGTCTTCCAGCACTTTGGAGACCGAGTGAGAAAAAGAACTTAGCACCTCAGGCCTTCACACAAATAACTGACTTCGGATCAGAGCCTGGTAGTGACTGGCAAAGGAAGCAGGTGGCACAGTGTGCCTGTTAAGCAGAAAGTAGTTTCCTTTCATAGCAAGAGTCAGAAGAGTTTGTTCTAATGTGGAATGGAAGAGTCTGGGGAGACAGTGGTGGGTTAGGGGCCTGCATTTATCTCTGGCAGGTGTGGGTGGATCAGTAATTCACAGGTTTACATCCATCACTGCAAATCGAACATGTCCCATCTGTTCTGTCTTCCTGCAGTCACTCTAGGCCAGTACCCGTGGGCGGCTTCTCTGGCAGAAAAGTACTGTGACTTCGATATCCTGGTACAGATGTGTGAACAGACAGACAACCAGGCCCGACTGCAGCGCTACATGACCCAGTTTGCTGACCAGGTAGCCATGCTGGTGCAGGACAATGTGCCACACTGTGTAAGGCCTTGCCCTTTCCACAATGTTGCTGTGGCTTCGATGGGAAGAAGTGAACTTACAGATTATGTTTTTCCATCAAGCTGACTCTTCTTTATGTTACGAATACTGAGAGGTTCCTTAGCCTTTGAAAAAGTTAAGCTTTAACTTTTGGGGTTTGTTTTGTTTTCTTTTGGTTTGGGGCACAGTCTAACTATATAGCCTAGGTTGGCCTGGAACTTATAATCCTTCTGCCTCTGTCTCCCAAGTGCTAGGGTTATAAGCCTGAGCTACCAGGCCCAGCAAACTTCCAGTTCTACTCTTGCCTTTGAATGACAATGAGAGAGCATTTAGGTGCAGAGGCCAGAGTGATATTTGAGACTTGAACTGGGCATCCTCAGACAGGCTGCTGGTAGAGAGCCTCAGGCTGCTGCTCTCAACAAGTTTGATGCTTAGCTTCCTGTTTTTAGACAAAGCACCTTTTTTGATGCTCTCAGGGTGATTTAGATTGTGCCTTAAAGCAAATTTATTCTATGAGTTAATGTATAAAAGCCTTTTTCAGCAGAGGAATCTGTATTTTTAATTTTATATGTATGAGTGTATTGCCTGCATGTATGTAAGTGTACCTATGTTGTACAATGCCCATGGAGGTCGGAAAAGGGTGTCCAGACCCCTGGAACTGGAACGACAGATGGTTGTTAGCCACCTCGTGGGTGCTGGGAAATGAACCTGGGCCCTCTGCAAGAGAAGCCAGTGCCCTTAACTGCTGAGCCATCTCTCCAGCCCCGTCAAAGGAATGTTGTATAAAATTCAGAAAGCCGGGCATGATGGCGCACGCCTTTAGTCCCAGCACTTGGGAGGCAGAGGCAGGCGGATCTCTGTGAGTTCAAGGCCAGCCTGGTCTACATAGTGAGTTCCAGGACAGCTGGGGGCTACAGAGAGACCCTGCCTCATTTAAAAGAGAAAAACAACAACAACAACAAAAAAAAAAAAATTCAGAAAGCCTCTACAAATCCCTCACAGTAGAGTTGCAGCACCCAGAGAGCCCATCTGAGCATATAGTTTGTTCTCTCGCCTGCGCATCTCAAGCATGCCCATGTCACTGAGCAGTCTGCAGCAGCATTTGTGCCGACGATGTGACTGAGTCCTTGTGACAGGACCTATGTGTTGGGTGTAACTAGTGTTGACAGTGGTGCTGAATTAAATGCTTTTGGCCAGTCACAAATTTTTAAAAAATTCCTTTTATGAATTCTTGTTATCAACATTTTCTGTTCAGTTTTAATAGGTTTTACTAACATGTTTTATGGTTACTTTAAAGTCTTGTGCTAATATCTCCATCTGTTCATTTTCAGGTTGGTTTCAGCTACCTGCTTTTTATGTTGCTAACTAGGTTTCTCTGCTTCTTACCTATGTACTTTTTTTTTGGTCTTTTTGAGACAAGGTTTCCCTGTAGCCCCAGCTGTCCTGGAACTCACTATGTAGACCAGGCTGGCCTTGAACTCATAGAGATCCACCTGCCTCTGCCTCCTCCCAAGTGCTGGGACTAAAGGCATGTGCTACCACGCCCGGTTACCTATGTACTTTTTTAATTGAATTTTAGATGTATTTGAAAAAAAAAAAAAAAGAGTCTGGAAAGGGGCCCTCTTTTTGTCCTGGGAGAGGGCACTCTTTTACACAGTGTAGCCAGGAGGCAGATGGCTCTTCCAGTCCTAGGAGCAGACATGGCCAAGCTTAGACTCTGGTCTTCTCGTGTTCATTTCACTTCCAGCCTCAGGTCTTTGGGGGACCTGTCTGTCATTATCACCAATTCCCTGCTTTACTGCAGAGCTCCTAAACCAGGAGATGGGAAGACCATTTAGTTCTACTTTACATTGCACCCTCTCTAGCACCCCAACATTCAGTGCACCCTCCCCAGTATACCAATTCTCAGTGTACCTTCCCTGTTACTCCAACACTTAGCACATATCCTGTGGCGACAGTCACATCAGCTGGATATTTGGGCCTCTCTGGATTTCAGTTTGCCATACTAGCTCACATGGTCATCTACAGAACTCCACTGGCCTGTTGTTCTTTCTGGGATGTCACCTCTTGGTACTGTTGATGAAATCCTATGTGATGACATGTTATCTGAAAAGGGAACCCCACTGGCCACAAGTGGCTGTTGACAGCTTGAGGTGTGGCCAGTGTGCCTGAGGAAAACAGGTTTTAATGTAACTAAGTTTCAATAGCTACATTTGGTGATTGGTGCCCATGATGGCTGGTGCAAGCCAGTCTTCCATTGTCAGCACTGGTACCAGGATTCTTGAGCAGGATCCTTGCTGAGCTGGCCAGAAGGTTTGTCAAGAGAGAAGCTGGCTGAATTCAGGAGTAGGACGGCATAGTCAATGTGGGATGTATACTAACAGTATGAACACGTATGTTCTAACAATATAGGAAATTACTCTCTGAAAATTTCTATTTGGGAGCCCACAAGGTGGCTCAGTAGATAAAGTTGCTTACCACCAAGCCTGATGACCTGCGTTCAGTCCCTAGAGTCCACATGGTAGAAGGAGAGATCCAACTCCTCTAAGTTGTCCTCTAACCTCTGTATGTTTGCCATGACACATGCATCTCTCTCTCTCTCTCTCTCTCTCTCTCTCTCACACACACACACACACACACACACACACACACACACACTTACACACTCTCACACACTCTAAATAAATGCAAAATAAAAAGAATCTATTTGGGGAGATCTTTGGAAGGGGCTTAGTATTTGATTATCAGAAATTATTTTTTAAAGATGTTTTACTAAATATCAATGGATTCTTGCTCTTTTCTTTGCAGAATTTTTCAGACTTTCTCTTCCGTTGGTACCTGGAGAAAGGAAAGCGGGGCAAATTACTATCTCAGCCCATTTCTCATCATGGACAGTTGGCAGATTTTTTGCAAGCCCATGAGCATCTCAGCTGGTTGCATGAAATTAATAGCCAAGAATTAGAAAAGGTAAGAGGGATATAGTCATAAGAAGCAGCCGGTATGCATCTTGAGTATTTTCATTTAATCTGGGTTTTAGTAAACTACTGTTTACAACCATACATCTGATAAAAGGTGTGTATAAAGAAGTCAACTGAATAGCAAAAAAATAATAATAACCTGAATAAAAAAATACTAAATGCCCAAACAGACAATTCTTAGATGATTATTTGAAAAATGTTCAGCGTCACTAATTAGAAAAATGCAAATTCAAACCACCATGAGAGCTCACCTTCCACCTGCCAGAATAGCTTTTATCAAAAAGATAAAGGGTAACAAATAGGATATGGGTTAGGATCCCTTTGCCCTGTTGATAGTAGTGTCAGTGCAGCCTTTGTGGAAAACTGTGGAGGGGCCCTCAGAAGACTGGAACTGGAACTGCCATTGGCATGTCCTCCCACACTTGAATGCAGCACTCATTTAGCAGAGCTAAGACATTGGCCTCAGTGACATTGCATGCATGTGGTGTCAGTGAGCCTTCAGTGTGACAGAGGCACCTAGAAAGAAGACTGCCTTTTGCATCTGGATGAACTTGGGGACCCAATGCCTCACTAATCTATGGAATCTAAACAGTTCTCATAACAGTAAAAGGGAGTTTCAGGGGCTGGGGTGGGTTAACAGAAGTGGTGGTTGAAGAATAGAATCCAGTTTAGCCAGAAGGTGGAGGAGGCTCTGTCGCCTGTAGTGAGTAATAACAGACTGAAGATTCCATACATGTTTAAGAGTAATTTCAGATAGCAGTTCTTTTTTTGTCTTTTTGAGACAGGGTCTCCCTGTAGCCCCAGCTGACCTGGAAGTTGCTGTAGACCAAGCTGGCCTTGAACTCACAGATCCACCTGCCTCTGCCTCCCGAGCGCTGGGACCAAAGGCATGCACCACCATGGCCCAGCTTTTTTTTTTTCTTTTTTTTTGAAACAGGGTCTCACTGTGCTGCTCTGGTTGTCCTGGAACTATTTTTGTAGACCAGGCTGTCCTCAAACTCAAAGATCACCTACCTCTGCCTCCCGAGTGCTAGAATTAAAGGTGTGTACCACCATACCTGGTCTTAAATTTTTTTTTACATTATTGTGTGTCTGCACACACACAATAGCACACATAGAGATCAAAGGACACCTTGAAAGAGTCAGTTATTTCCTTCTACCATGTGAGTTTTGGTCATCAAACTCAGACATCAGGCTTGGCAGCAATTGCTTTTATCTGCTGTGCCATCTAACTGGCTCTCAAATATAAGTTCTTATGGTATAGATATGTTGATTAGCTTTATTTTCTTATTCCATGGTGTATGTACATGCCACAACCTTCATTTTGTACTTCATGGAAATACATATAGTTAAGATTTAGCTGGGCATAGTGGCACATGCCTTTAATCCCAACACTCAAGAGGTAGAAGCAGATGGATCTCTGAAATTGAGGCTACCTGGTCTATATAGTGAGTTCCAGGCCAGCCGGGGCTGAGTAATGAAACCCTGCCTTTAAAAAAATTGGCAATTTAGCTGGGTCTGGTGGTGTACACCTTTAATCCGAGCACTCAGGAGGCAGAGGCAGGTGGATCTCTATGAGTTTGAGGCCAGCCTGGTCTCCATAGTGAATCCAGGCCAGCTGGGGCTACAGAGAGACCCTGTCTCAAAAAGGGGGGGAAAAAAAAAAAAAAGGCAACTTAAAATAATTTTTTAAAATTTACAAGACACTATTAATGAATTATTAAGACATTAGTACATATACGTCCTCCGATTCTCACACATTTTTGGAATGGTGTAGTCACTACTTACTACTGATATTCCAACACCTGCACTGTCAGGGTGAGGCTTCACTGTGTGCTGCTCAGTGATTCAGCACCAATCCTAAGGGAGGTTTGCTAGCTACCACTGTGTCTTCTGTGGATACAGCATAGGGGAGAAATGGGTTTGGTATGTTCTGAGCCTTTACTTCAAGGGATTGCTGTGGTTTTCTTGTTTATTGTAGGCTCATGCAACACTTCTCAGTTTGGCAAATATGGAAACTCGTTACTTTGCAAAGAAAAAAACCCTTCTTGGGTTGAGTAAACTGGCTGCATTAGCTTCAGACCTTTCAGAGGACACACTGCAAGAAAAAATTGAAGGTAAGGGAAAATTGGAACACTTGGCCCAAGGCCTGTTACTGATTGTACTCAATATCCATGTTTATTGTTTAGTCATATTTGGAATCATTAATACTATTTGTTGTTGTTATTGTTACTGTTATATTATCTTACTGGTTTTTGAGACATGATCTCATTATCCAAGCTGGCCTCAGCCTCCTGAGTACTGGGGTTACAGGTCACTAGACCCAGCCAGTAATTTGCTGTTTTGTTTTGTTTTTTGTTTTGTTTTGTTTTGTTTTGTTTTGGGATAGTGTCTTCCTGTAGCCCCAGCTGGCCTTTGTAGACGTGGCTGGACTCAATCTCACAGAGCTTCACCTGCCTCTGCCTCCCAAGTGCTGGGATCAAAGGCATGTGCCACCACACCTGGTAGTAATTTGTATTTTAAATAAGAATAAATACAGATGGTTTTCAGCGGACAACTCTGGTTACATACTATAGTGATACATATTTCCAATTGCATAGATGTCCAAACCCTCCACAGGGGCCTGCTGAAGGTGGTATTAGCAAAAGAATTCTGCAGCTTCTTTTAGGTAAAGAATAAAATATGGTTTTATTCTTGAGATGCAAAGAGATGGATAATGTATGAGTACAAGTGAAGCAGAGGAAACTTTATAGCTTGTATTTGAGCTTAGTTTTAATGTGTTTGTCTTGACTCTGTCCACTGAAGGGCCTAGTGAAATCCACATTTAGATTCTGACTCCCAGTTAGTAGAAAGGAACAGGGCTGGTGGTAAAATGGCTGCAGGAAGTCTTCGGTGGGAAAGACGACAGAAGTCAGTGGAGACAGCAGCACAGCACAGCTTCTAACAGCTCTGTGTCAGGATGATGTGAGTGTTGGAAGAAGAGAAGGTCACGTTTCACATGGGTCCACAGTGATGCCCAAAGGGACAAGATCAGTAAAGTGCTTCTTCCCAAAAGTTCTATTGGTAATTAATGTAGAAGGAATAGACGTCACCATTTTGCAACTGCAGTGAATAATTAACTGACCCATCAGTGTGGTGATGATGCATACCTGTAATCCCCACCATGATTAGGCCAGAGGATGGAGAGGGCCAAGCTGACATCCAGGTCAGTCATGGCAACATAGAAAGATTTGATCTTAAAGCTAAACCAGGGCTGGAGAGATGGCTCAGTCAAAAAAGTACTTGCCACACAAGCATGGGGAACTGTTTGGTTCCTAGCACCCACATAAAAAAGCTGGGTGTAGTGGTATGTGCCTGTAGTCATAGTGTTGAATAGGCAGAAATAGGATCCCTGAGGCTTGCTGGCCAACCAGTCTAGCTGAATTTGTGGGTTCTATGTTTGGTTTCAGAACTTGTCTCACAAAATAAGGCCGAGTGTAATTAAAGAAGGTATCCAGTGTTAACCTCTGGCCTCCATGTGTGTGTACACACACAAAAGCTAAACCATTGAGTTGAAAGGAAAGGAAAAGTATATTCTTGTTTTCAGTGTCACTACACAGATCTCTGATACCACACACAGATGTGAGACAAGCCGTGCTTCACACTTCCGTGGCATGGCAGGGCTCAGCCTGCTTCTGTATCTCATCACAAGGGAACAGGACATTGTATACGTCAGTCAGCCTGGCCTCTTCCACATGTTAGTCAAAGCAGATAAACTATTTTAGATCCACATGCAGCCTGAGACCCTAGACTAAATCTTAGGTCACCCCTAAACCAAACAACTGTGATGGTACTGTAGGGATAATTGGAAAGCTTGAACTTGAACTTCAGCCCTCCTAAGTTCTGGGAGTAGACATATTTAATATTAGATAATATTATCATATGCCTGTTAACTTCATAGACCTGATGATGGTATTTGTGTTTGGATGCCCTTACTCTTAGAAGATAGATCCTGAAGTACTTGGAATTTAAATGCCGTGTTTGCAACTTCTCTATGATAGACACTTGGGAGGCAGAGGCAGGAAGATCAGTTCACGACCAGCCTTGGCTACATAGCAAGCTAAGGACCAGCATGGACTATGTGAGAGCCTATCTCAACAAACTAATTGGAAGAGGCGCCACTGCATGGTCAGCCCATTTAAGTTTTATCTTTAAAATATTTTTTTTTAATTAAAACTTTTAAAAAATTTTTATTGTTTTTATTATACGTGTATGCGGGTATTGCCTGCAGGTAGGTAAGTGCACCCGTGTCGTGCAATGCCCACATTGCTCAGAAGAGGCTGTTGCATCCCCTGGGACTGGAGTTATGGACAGTTGTTAGCTGCATTGTGGGTGCTGGGATCCAAACCTGGATCTTCTGTAAGAACAACCAGTGTTCTTAACCGCTGAGCCATCTCTCCAACCCCAAAAATCTTTTTTTTTTTTTTTTTTTTTTTTAACTGTTTGGGAGCACCAGAGCTACCTGTTTTTCTAGAGAAGTATCAATCAGAGAGTAATTTAACCCGGAATTTGGTTGGTTTTGTTTTTCCAGCTGAGTAGTTGACACTCTGATTGTTGTTTTGCCCTCGATTCCTTCTTTCTGTTTTTTTAATGTACTAGTGTGTTTTGGGGTCTCACTGATTCCTTGTGAACTGTCTTCACCATGTGTCTAATCATGGGGATGGAAGTCCTATAAATTTGGTTGTATCAATAATGCCTATGGAAAAATTGTAAATTATAGAAAAAACAAAATAATTGCGTTTAATTGGAGGTCCCACTCCTTAAATAACTACTGCAACTCCAGTTTAGTTTTGCTCTCTGGGAGTTTGTAGAATACTACCAGTGTATGAATGGAAATGATGTACATTCACACCCTTCCCCAGTATCCCAGCACATCTAGGCAGACAATCTGTGATAGGCAGAGACCTGCAATTTCATCCAGTGGGGTGTCTTGTCAGTAAATAGATGGGTACACATCTGCCTAGGCTTTGCTTATCTCGTGATATACCATGGGTTCTGAAGAGACTGTGCTGTACCCTTTATTGAGCTGCCCTGGAGTTGGGCCTGCAACTGGGGCTCAGACTTCCTGAAGCAGCATCAGCAGCTTCCTCCCCAAAGCCACTTTGTGCTGCTGTGGTCATACAGCAGCCTTGGATCAAACTGTAAATATGTTGTTGGTATAATCAGCAGTGAAGAATAAGCAAAGTTAAATACATCCAGAGACCCTGGACAGCAGAGCATTGCTTTAGAGCTGTTGCTTTTTATTTGATTGACAATGGCTGAAGTGAAAGTCTCATAATGTCCTTGATCACCAGTAATGGCAGAGCAGGAGCGCTTTCTGCTGCACCAGGAGACCCTGCCAGAGCAGCTCCTGGTGGAGAAGCAGCTGAGTCTCAGCGCGATGCCTGTGCTGACCGCACCACAGCTCATTGGGGTAAGTGTTCTACATAGGACAACTGCACCCTGCTTCCCCAGTCACAACCAGAAGCTTGTATATTCTAGGCCATGCTTTGGAGCTCCCAACAGACTCCTTTTCTTCCTCCCACCTTCCAGGGAACTTTCCCTTTAAAAAGATAATGGGAGGACTGGAGAGATGGCACTGACTGCTTTTGCGGAGGACCCGGGTTTGAATCCCAGCACCCACATGGCTGATAACAACCATCCCTAACTCCAGTTTCAGGGGATCCAGTGCCCTCTCTGACCTCTGCAGGCATTGCATGACATGGGTGCACTTACATTCAGGCAGGTAAATACATTCATACACATAAAATAAGAATAATTAAAAGGGGAGGGAGGACTTGGGAACAGGAGCAACTAGCAGGAAGCAGCTACCCAGCCTCTGCCTCTCCAGGCAGCCTCCCTGGCTTTCTAGGCACTCATCCAGGGATCTAGCAAGAATCGTGGTTTGCTTTCTCAGTGTAGGAGTGTGTGCTATGAGGTGACTCGCTCCCAGACTGTTACTCTGCAGGCCCTTCTTGCAAAGGGTCAAGGAACTGGATTGCGTACCCTGCAGGCACTATCTTCATCCCTTTCCTGGCAACCAAATAATCCAGGGGCAAGAATGGAGTTGATGCTGCAGCACGTGAGCAACTGGTGCTGTGTGCATGCATCCTTCCCCCTCTTCTTAGGCATTTCACTCTGAGTCTACTCTAACCAAAGCTAAAGGAAAACAAGCAGTCCAGCTTTATTGGCGATAGAGCTTCTGTGGAATTCAGGACAGCCTTTCCTGAGAGATCATTTATTGGAGAGTTCTACACTGTAGGCTTATAACTACGATCATTTTATGTGCTACTGTGCTGTGTGCATGCATCCTTCCCCCTCTTCTTAGGCATTTCACTCTGAGTCTACTCTAACCAAAGCTAAAGGAAAACAAGCAGTCCAGCTTTATTGGCGATAGAGCTTCTGTGGAATTCAGGACAGCCTTTCCTGAGAGATCATTTATTGGAGAGTTCTACACTGTAGGCTTATAACTACGATCATTTTATGTGCTACTCTTGCTCAGATGGTCTTTTTTTTTTTTTTTGTATTTTGTTATTTTTATTTTATGCGTTTGAATGTATTGCCTGCATGTGTGTAAATGCTCCCATGTCATGCAATGCCTGCAGGGGTCAGAAGAGGGCTTTGGATTCTTATAGAACTGGAGTTGTGGACCGTTTTTTAGCCACCATGTGGGTACCAGGAATCAAACCTGGGTCCTCTGCAAGAACAGCCAGTGTTCTTAACCACTGAGCCATCTCAGTGTTAAGCCAGACTGTCTGTCTTAATGCTGCTTTCCAGTTTGAAGGTTGTGGAGGCAAAGGGACTTTGTAGAGTATTGGGCTTAAACCTGTATGGCAATGAAGACTGGCAGGTGGCAGCTGGCTTCTGAAAGGTTTGGGATATTGCTGAAGGATTCTCTGCAGCCTTAAAACGTGAAATTTGGCCTATTACAAATAATTGAGCAAGGGAAGATAGGAAGAGGTCACACTGATAATTTTAACAAAGGAAATGTTTTTCTGATAAGATGGCAGGATTTTGAGGAATGTGTGCAGCCAGCTGTTCTCTAACTCAGCAGGGAAACTGGCTCACACAACGAGTGTTGCCATGCTGGGTCTGGAACCCAGGGCCTCGCATGCTATGTAAGCACTCGCTGAGTTTGACTCCATCCCTGTTTGTCATCTGAGTGAACTGACTCCAGATGCATGCCGTATGCTGGATTCACTTTTACAGCCATTTACAGAAGTGGCATTCCAAAAGCTATGCACTGAGTGGCCTTACGAGCCCAAGGGCAGGAATTTAGGTCAAAGATTATGCATGAAAGCCTGCTGGAATGCTTATACTGTCTTCTCAAATATAAATTCTAAAAGTTTGTGTACCTCATTATACAAATTAATTTCTGGTTTAGAGTACGCATTGCTACAAGACAGTTATGGGATAGACAAAACTATAGCTCCCAAATGTGACATTGTTCTTGGCTACAAAACCAAATACAGGTATGCAAACAAAGATAAACTGACATCTCCACACGTTTGCTTGGCATTGATTCTGTAATTACTTTGGACAATCATCTACCTTATAATTTGCTGCAGCTCTACATATGTGAGGAAAACAGAAGAGCCAATGAGTATGATTTCAAAAAAGCCTTGGACTTGCTGGAATATATTGATGAGGTAAGAAAAATTGCTCAGTCTCAGGGAACTGCATATCTGTCTGTCTGTCTGTCTATCTATATGGGGGAAAAAACTTCTTTTGCTCAGTTATAAAATATGCTCATGAAAAAAAGACAACTTCGGTTAAGTTATTCTGGCTTTTAAAAGACATCAGCCTTTTAGAAGGACACTCTAGTTCTTATTTCTTTATTTATTGTGTGTATAAGTGTTTTGCCTACATGGATGTAAGTGTACCACATGTATGCAGTACCCACAGAGGCCAGAAGAGGGTGAATTATAGACAGTTGTTAGCTGCCATGTGAGAGCTGGGAACCAACCCCATGCCCTCTGCAAGAGCAGCAAGTACTCTTTTAAGTACCATCTCCCCAGCCTGAAACTCAAATTCTTGATAATCCTCCCACATTTCTAGCCGACTTCTGTGCAGAAACTTTTTTTTTTTTTTTTTTTTTTTTTTTTTTTAACATTTATTTGGTGTGTGTTAGGTTTGTGTGGAGATCCAGAGGATAGTGGAGAAGTCAGTTTTTCCTTCCACCACAGGGCTCTAGGGATCAAATTCAGGTTTTTGGGCAGGTGCCTGTACCTGCTAAGTCAAATCAGTGGTTGCAGATTTTTTTTGTTTTTGAAACAGTGTTTCCCTGTAGCCCCTGCTGGCCTAGAACTTACTGTGTAGACCAGGCTGGCCTCAAGTCTCAGACATCCTCCTTCCTCTGCCTCCCAAATACTGGAATTAAAGTCATGAGGCACCAAATCTGGTCCTAGAAATTTATGTTGTTTTGTTTGTGTGTATATGCATGCATGTTCATGTGTTAATGTGCACATGGGTATGGACGCTAGAGGATAATCTTAGGTGTCATTTTCAAGAATACCATCCACTTCCTTTGAGACAGATCTCCTCTTGTCCTGGAGCTAATTAATTAGACTAGACTGGCTGGCCAGCAGCCCCAGGGATCCTGTGTTTCCTGTCTCCCCAGTGCTGGAATTATAGATGTGCAACATACCCCCAACATTTTTACATGGGTTCTGGGGATCAAAATAAGATCTTCATGTTTGTGTGGCAGACACTTTACTGAGGTTCCCCCCTACATGACCACTTTAATAATCCCAGCCTCTCAGCATTTCTGGTGAAGCCAGAGTGATCTGGAACCAGCACATATATGTGTATTTCATTTTTTAAAAAATACTTATTTTATGTGTATGAGTGTATTGTGTGCATGTATGTAAGTGCACTTGTGTTGTGCAGCACCTGTGGAGGTCAGAAGAGGGCATCAGATTCCCAGAACCCAAGTTACGGATGGTTGTTAGCTGCTATGTGGGTGCTGGGATTCTAACCCAGGTCCTCTGCAAGAGCAGTCAGTGAGTACTGTTGACCACTGAGCCTTCCCTCCAGCCCCTGTGCATTTCATTTTTTTTTGAAACTGTAAAATAAATTTATGAGAATTTCATACATGTGTATAAGGTGTTTCGATCAAATCCACGCCCACTCCCTCCCCTCCAACTCCTCCCATATCTCCCCATCACATTTTCCTGACAACTCTGTACTTTTTTTTTTTTTTCTTGCTACTCTTAACATTCCCCCCTTTGAAGAGGCAGCCCTAAAATCTTTCAGAGATTAGGTAAGAGCTCCCAAATACTTTTGACATTTGGGCCTTTGGAATAGAGTATGTTGGTAAGAGGCCCATGAACATTCTGACTTTTAGCCAAGAAACTGGCTACTTTTCTCTGGGGTCTTTTTACCCTAACTCCTGTTCTCATCACACCATCCTCTGAACAGGTCACTCAAATTGCTAATGGGGAATCAGGACACAGACCCCTCTGGCTTCTTCCATGCTGAACAGGGATGCAGAGTGATGCATTTGGGGTACCCCTTCAGTGGGTCTATCTGAAAGACTCTCAGATTGCATTAACTCTTAACTGTAGGGAGAAACGAAAGTCCTTGATTGGTGCCTAGGAGATGTGAAAGAGATGTAAAGGCAAGAGTATGGGGGCGTGGGGATCTCGAGGCGCCAGCTGCTAGTGTGGCGCTGGTCTCCTGCGCGCACCTCGGAAGTGGCGGGTCCCGCGGTGCTATTTCACCCGTGTAATTTCCTCAGGATGTGAGGTTCACTGGCCACTGATCCACACGGGAAGACTATGGAGACAGCGAAAGCTATGATGTCCGTGGGTCAGTAACGAGGGAGTGCACCCCCCGGAGAGATTGGATCGCCGGTAGTAAGACACAAGACTCAAGCTTGGCTCATTCTGTGTTTACAGCTTTATTAAGTATCTCTGCTCCAGCTCCTGCTGATCCAGCTCTCTGGGACCCAATCTCCGGGATCCTATCTCCGGGACCCAATCTCCAACTATTAAGAGAAGACTAGGATATTTTTACAATGGGGGTAGTGGTAAAAGCTTTTAGATACTTTGTGAGGCATTCTATTTACATATGGTAGTGTGTTTCTGCCATGCAGCCAGACTGCTGACTACCCGGAAAAATCACACAGGAAGGCATGGTACCTTTCAGAGCCAAAGGCCATGTTTATGTTAAAGCACTTGTGGCGGGCACTTCAAAAGAAGAGTCAGAAAAGATGCCAGGAAAGCACCCTGCTATGAATGGAGCCCGCAGCACATGATCCCAAGCTACATGAGCTGTCCGGTCGTGAAAGGGCTTCTACTGTGCATAACAGAGGTCCCCAACATCTCCCTCTCTTTGATTTAAATATGAAGAAGTGCCATGCCAGCCCTAAGGGTCAACTCATTTCATCTCGGGAGAATCCAAAGTTTGATTACTGACCATGACCTGTTTCCTGTAATGATTTTTAGCAAATGGCAGTAACTGTCAGCAGAGAAATCTTAAAAACAGTGAGCAAGCATAATGCACATCATTATCAAGGGGTAGGAGCCATGCAAACAAGGAATTGCTAAGCCAAATAGATTACAAAGTTTTGAGAGTGTTAACATTGTTTTCAACAACATTTGATTCAATTACAAAGAAACAGTACTTTTCCCAATATCACATAGTCCCCATGTTCAACAGTTATCAAGTCCAATGTTTTTTTGTTGTGAAGCATAACTCCTGGCGAGAAAGTTCATTTGCTGTTGGAGAGATTCTAGGCTTCAGTCACGGGTGTCATTGCTCGGTCTAGCTTGTCTTGGAGATTTTTCGCCAGGCGCTGGGCTTGTAGCTGCTGTCGCCATAGCAACACCTCCAGCATCCAGTGTAAGTTCAATCTCTACCAGCAGGGGGAAGAAGATCTTTCTCTGCTGGCAGCTGTGTAAGAGAAAAGGGCTTTTTGCACCTGGGACTGGTGCACAGAAGGTGGACAAAGAGATTAACACAGTTTTGGGCTTTTCTTTGCTCTATAGGAAAAGAGGAGCGATGCATGCTGTACTGGGGAGGCTTGCTGCTGAAAATGCAAATTAAATAATTAGCCAGTTGTTTGAATCCACTTAGATGAGAGTCAGTGAAATCTTTTTCTGTTCCTCGGTCGAGAAGGGTGGTAACTGGTACTGCTGTCGGTAGAAATCTATTACTGGATGCACAAAAGAAGGCAGTTAGACATTGGGGTAGGTGGTGAAGGGAAGAAAGTTAGACTTGTTCCAGGACATAGTCGATCTTATTTGGTCCTCTGTCTTTCCTGTAGAATAATATTATGAGTTAGCACAGACTTGGCTGCAGGTGCAAGCTGTTGAGAGACATGAAAGTTAGCTGTGGGGTACCTAGAGAATGCACCTGAGTAGAATTCTGCTATTACTCCAACATGTCAGCGATTGTCCTATGGATCTGATTTTTCCTTGAAAAATAAAATCTCTAGAACATGGTATTAGGGAGAGTGGGGGCTGGCTGAAGCATTGGTGTTAAGCAGGGTAAAAACAGCCATGAGGATGACAGAGAAGGAAGCTCTAGGGGGGCTTTGGGTGTCGTCTCCGCCTTTTTTTTTTCTTTGGTTGATCCTGTGGGAAAACACAAGCAAATCCTCTCCCTGTGGTCAGCAATGGATCTGGTCCTTTTCAGAGTCCATCAAAGGCATCCCTCCACAATTAAGGCATTTTGAGTTGGATTGGGTTGCAACTACAAGGGCTTGGGCAAGGGAGGAGGCCTGGTATGTGGCAGTCCCAATATCATGGGTGGCCACAATCCATCTGTCATAATGTTCATTTTTTAGTCCCTGGCATGCTTGTCTGTGCTCAGGGGTCATCCCTTCCCAGATAAGGCTGTTTAAAAGCATTGCTTTGGCTGCAGGATCTGTTATTTTTCTATCTAATCTGGCTTGCACCCTTAGTATAAAGTCTGGGAGAGCCTCAGCTGGCTTTTGTTTTAAAAAAATTAATGAAGAAGTCTCTCCAGGCCCAGCGGACAAGGGGGTTAGGCGGTCCCAGACCTGTAGTGCACATAAGCGGACCTGCTCAAAACAGCCAGCCGGAATCACAGCCTGCTGGATTCCTGTGGAAAAGTTGCCCTGGCCAAAAAGCTGGTCATAGTTCCAATCTATGAATCCAGGTGGTGGATCCTGTCCCTGCTGTGGTCTTAGTTGTTGACTATGTGTGTCATTTCTTTTAACCTGCATCAGGCATTCATCTCTAAATAAAGCCTCCCATTGTACAAATAATGGACTGGGGAGGGTAGATCTACAGATATCTCTCCAGTCCTGGGGGGTTATGAGGTTAGTATTAAATGTTTGTAGGTAAGTAGATTAGTATTAAATGTTTGTAGTATAGATTTTGTCCATGGAGCACGAATTCCATCCTCACAGACAGCCTGGTGTCTTTAAGTTCCGCTGCTGGGAGCGGGTACCAGGCTAGTGGGCGTTGCCTTGTTATTTGTAAGTTAACAGGAAAAGCCTCTACCGGTGGGATTTGGGGGTCCTGAGACCACTGAGGCTGGCAACTTCCACTATCTCTAAGATTACACAGTTGCTCTGTAGCAGTAGGGCATGGCTGGAACGGCACCACAGGCGTTTATCTGAGGATCTTTGGGAGCTTTTGAAGTCTGGGCGTTAATATCTGGGCTTGTTAAATCAGCAAGAGGGGGGTAAGAGTTAATTTTGTTGATGGGTAAGTTTTGTCTGACTTGGTCAAATTTTGTTTTGGGGGCTGTTGAATCTG